TGAAACTCCTGTTGCCAACCCATGGCTTCTTCAACCTTTCCAATGAGTGGTTGTTTTTAATGAGCAAATGTCCTGGACCCAGAACTGACCTAGGGTCAGAGACTGAGCAGGTGTGAGACTGCTGTTCTAAGTTTTGTTTTAAGTTATCACAATGCTGATCAGAAGATTTGAATCCCAGAGTTCCTCCAGGGGAGGAGGTGTGGAGGCAGGGAGAGAATTTATGAATCCTTCATTTGTTCACTCACTCAGCTCCCGGTTATTGTACTCTGAGCTAAGCTACAACAGGGCTGTCAGAATCCTAGCCTGAAATCACAGATAGATTTAAAACAAATGCCCCAGAGCTGTTCCTGAGTATTTACTACATGCTAGACACATAAGGCACGTAACTAGAATTCTCTGAGCTAAACATTTCATTCCCACTATCCAGGTGAGATAACAGACGCACTGAGAAGTGAAGAGACCTGCCCCAGGTCACTCAGCTATGACAAAGATAGTCAGGATTCAAACCCAAGCCTGCCTGACTCCAAAGCTCAGGCTGTGCTGTATGTTTTTAACTTGGAATATTTGAGTCATAAAAAGGATATGTATTGGGCTGGAGGTGGCTCACGCCTGTAATTCCAGCTACTCGGGAGGTGACGCTCAGGTAGATTGAGGTTTGAGGCCAGCCCAGGCAGAAAGTTAGCAAGACCCGCATCTCAACCAATAAAAGCTAGATGTGGTGGTGCGTGCCTGTCATCTCAGCTACACGAGAGGCACAGGTAGGAGGATCAAGGTCTGAGGCTGGCCCCAGGCAAAAACTCAAGACCCTATCTGAAAAGTAACTAAAGCAAAAGAGCACTGGGGGCATGGCTCAAGTGGGAGAGCACCTGCCTAGCAAGTGTGATGCCTTGAGTAGCATATGTAGCATATGTAGCAGGATGGTATATGTGCAGGGCAGACTTGCAGGGGCTCAGGGGCCTGTTTAGGGTGAAAAAGTAGTTGTATCAATTTACCTATAAACTGGAGGAGGGTCTTTTGAGCAGCCAGCTTTGGGCTTAGCAAAGAGGCTCAGGTGTTGAGTAACTGGAAGTCCCTGAGATTAACCTTGGACAAAGCTAATCAAAGTCGTTTACCTGGTCACTCACAGAGCACCGCATGCTCTTGATAGTTTATCTGCAGACTCAGCCTCTGAGGTTGGAAACGCCTGGTGTTATTGACCGACCTCCCAGAGAAATGTGGCCTCCTTGCTGACACAGGAGATCCAAGGCATCCGTGCTGGGGCATGTGGGGTTTTATTTATTTATTTATTTATTTATTTAATTTATTGATTTTGGGGATTGAACCCAGGGCCTCACACTTGCTTGGCAAGCATTCTACCACTTAAGCAATGCCCCAGTCGCTTTGATTTTCGTTTATTTTTCAGATGGGGTCTCTTGCTTTTGCCCAGACTGGCCTGAACTGAGATCCCTTTATCTCCACACTACCCCAGTAGCTGGGATTACAGGTGTGTGCCCAGTGCTTGTGAGTTTTTTTTTTTTTTTTAATGCCCACACCCTTCTTTTGCAGCCAAACTCCAATTTGTCAGCCTTGGGGTCAAGGCTGCATGATATAATCAACTGGAACAGCTAAGCCCTGGTTGGATTGCTCCTCTCCCTGATTGTTCTTTCTCCTTTTCTCCCTCTCTTCCTTCTGCCAATATTTATTTTCCTTCCTTTTAATTTTTTGGTTGAGTAACAGTGTTCAAGGAATTGGAAATTCAAAGAGTAAAATAATGCTAGGAAAAGACTTACTCCAACTACTAAGTCTCACTTGTCCAGACCCTCCTATGAAAGGAAGCCACTTTTATTGATTTCTCATGCCTCTTTCTAGAATTTCTTCGTGTGTGAACAAAAATGAATAGAAAGTTTTATGTAAGCCTCCTATTATAGAATAGATAAAGTATTATACACACAATTCTGCCATTGTCCTGTCAAATAACAATGCATCTTGGGTATTTAATATTCTATTGGATTTCACTAGCATTCATTTATCACCCACTGTGCACCAATCCCTATGCTGAGTGCTGGGGTCAAAATGAAGACTCAAAACAGGCCCTTCCTAGCACTTGGGAGGATTGAGAGTTTGGAATCAACTTGAGCTACATAGTAAGTTCAAGGTCAGCCTGGCTGCATACTGAAAGTCTGTGTCAAAAAGAAAAAAAGAAAGAAACTGGGCTGAGGATGTAGCTCATTGGCAGAGCATTTGCTTAGCATTCATAAGGCCCTGGGTTCAATCCCCAGTACTGTAAAAAAAAAAAAAAAATTCTTTTTTGGGAGGTGGAGATTGGGAGGATTGTGTTTTGAGGTCAGTCCAAAGTTAGTGAACCCCCCCATCTCAAAAAAACAAGCTGGGTATGGAGGTGCATGACTGTAATCCCACCTACTTGACAGGGGTAGATAGGAGGATCATGGTCTGAGGCCAGCCCAGGGCAAAAGTGTGAGAACCTATCTGAAAAATAACTAAAGCAAAAAGGACTGAGGGTGTGACTCAAGTGGCAGAGTGACTGCCTAGCAAGTACAAGGGGCTGCGTTCAAACCCAAGTATCAAAAAAAACCCAAGCACAGCAGACAAATAATTATAATAAAGGATTTCAGGTGCCACTTATTGCAGATGTTTCTGGAGTATCAATCACTCATTAGGCATGACTCTGGACAGGGAGGGTGTTCATGTGCGTGTGCGATAAAAAACACCTCTCCATCCTAGTAGGACTGATGCTTGGGCACTGTGAGGAGGGAGATGGGGTCTGTGGTGACACGTGAGTACCCTAAACAGGTGTCAAGCAAGGCCAGCTGGAGGAAATGCAGTCTCAGCTGATAATTCACAGCCAAGGAGGCAGTGGCCGTTTCCAGCAGAGGCAGCCCTGCTGGCCGGGAGGAGGTGAGAGGCAGCTGGAGCTTTGGTTGGAGCATTTAGCGAGTTGAGACCCGGAGGCATGGGCCCGTGGTGGGGGGGCCTTGTGGACCATAAAATGGACTGTCCTCACGGATGCCATAGGGGTGCTCTGTGGAGGGGCCAGGAAGGAGGCAAAGGGCAGCTGGCGGCCATAGGGAGGGCAGAGTGTGGCCTAAACCAGAGATGCTGGTCCCCTGAATGAGAGAGGAGGGAGCGGGCCCAAGGGACCATGAGGGGTGGTGTGGATAGGACTCTGCTGAATGTGTGTTGGGGAGCCTCAGTCTTCTCAGTTTTCTGAAGAATGAGGCTAGTGCTGTCCGGGGTGGGCTCACTGACACAAGAGAGGCTCTCAGCAGGGTCACTGTCCCCCACTTGTCCCCAGCATCCTCATCTCTTCCTCTGTTCCTATGCTGCCCTCCAGTGTAACAACCTCATAGCAACAAGGGCCAGCTACCTCCTGACCGTCCAGGCCTCTGCTAACTGCCCATCTCTCTTCACCCCCCCTCTCCCTCCCTCTCCCCCCCCCACTCAACAAATACCACACACACCTACACTACAACACACACACGCTCATGCAACACACACATCACCCCCTGCACGCCACACACACACTACCCCACGCACACACATGCCACGCTGCATATCTCCTAATCCTGGTATAGGTCACTGCCATCCCTGTTAGTCAACTTTCTGGGGCCTGGGCTCCTCCCATCCTAGAGGAACTGCAGGTGTGCACAGTGCCTGCCACAGCCAGGCCTGTTGTGTATGGCTCCATTAGTTTTGGATATCTCGGCTGCCTTTCCTGTGGCTTCCGCTGGGCTGTGCTCCTGGGAACAAGGCCATACTGAGGGTGCCTGGCACTTGCCTGACTACAGGAAACAGCTAAGGAGCTACCTGCCACTGGGGGATGGTCAGACAGCTCTGGGGGTGGGGAGAGGAGGGAGAGAAAACAGCAGAAACAGTGGGTATTTCCCCAGACCCCCTTGGGCAGTTTGGCACCTAGCCACCCAGACCAAGTTTATTTGGTGATAAGATTGCCTTTGTTTGCCCCCAAACCCCAAGGGCATGTGCCACCCAGAGCCCTGGCCTGCATTTTCTCTCCTCAGCCTATAGCAGCTTCTCAGAGCTCAGCAGCCTGGGCCAGACATCCTCTCCTCTGAAGGATGGCCAGGAAGGGGCCCTGGCACATGTTGTCACAACCCCCCAGGCCCCAGGGAGTGTCACTGTGGTAGACTGAAGTCACAGCCCCTGGATGTTGCCTCCTTCAGCCAGTGCGTGCACTGGGGTGAGAAGTGAGGACACACACAGAATCAGAAGTACGTGGACCCGGGGTGGCCCACAAGGAGGGCCTCTGTTGGCTTAGTGCACTCTACCTGGCTGTCCCCTAGTGTGGCAGGACAGATGCCATGAGTCCTCAGGCTCTCAGATCTTCAGTCTCAGGTGTGGTGGTCCAGGCTTCTCACTCTGAAGAAGGTGTGAGCTTTGTGGCATAGGCCTAGGTTGAATTTCAGTGTGGCCTGGCTCTTGACAACCAAAGAACCTTTTTTCCTTCGAGCTGGGGGAGGGCTGGTGGGCCTGGCTGGGGCTCTGCCATTCTGGAGGGCACTGAAGACTCACTGTTTGCTTAGGACTTGCTTTCTGCCCCCAGGAGGGCTGGTCCCTGCTTTAAGGCTCTATTTCTGCCGTCTTGAAATTCTTAATAATTTTCCAACAAGGGACTAGGCATTTTCATTTTGTACTGGGCCCTGCAAATTATGCAGCCAATCTTTCTTTTTGTCACCTGCCCATTAGTATTATTTGCATTTCAAACTATGTAGATATGGCTTTTTAAATTTTAAAAAATATAGTCAGTCCTTATTCATTGGGTGGGTTTTTTTTTTTAACATTTCAAGACCCCCAGAAGATGCCTAAAAATGTGGATAGTACCAAACCCTATGTATGCTGTTTTCTCCTATACAAAGTTCAATTTGTAAATGAGGCACAGCAAGAAATTAGCAAAAACTGACAATAAAATAGGACAATTGTAACAATATAGTGTAATAAAAGTTGTATGAATATATATTTCAAAGTATCATCTTGTAGTGTTCTCAACCTTCTTGTGATGTGAGATGATACAATGTCTTTGTGATGGATGAAGTGATATAAATGACCTAGGCACGGTGACATAGTGTTAGGCTCCTTGCTAAAAGCTACTTGAACACAAGCACTTGATACTATGCAATTAATCTGATAACTGAGGTGGCTACAAAGTGAGCACTGGACAGGTAGCATATAGAGTATGGATACACTGGACACAGGGATGACTCATTTCCTGGGTAAGATGGTGTGAGATTTCATCACACTACTCAGAAAGGCACACAATTTAAAATTAACTTTCTGGAATTTTCTGTTTAATATTTTTGGTCCATAGTTGACCATGGGTAGCTGAAACTATAGAAAGTGAAACCATGAACCAAGGCAGACTACTGTCCCACAAAGGGTAGCAAACAAATGACATATTTAGCAGTTGCTGTGCTCATTTGGAAGCAGTTTGTATGTACACTGTGGTCCCCAAGCTGATGCCCACACACCCACATGGAACACTTCCATCCATCTCACAGTCTGACTGGCTCCCAGGAGAGCTGGTGTATATGCAAAATGTCACCCCTGTGAGGGAGTGTCATTCATCTCTGGCAGCTCTGAAGGACATGGAGAGTAGTGTGCAGGGCCCACCCTGCTGCAGCACTAGCTCCATACTGCCACCAGGGTGAACTGGTCCATATTCCAGAGCTAGGTGGCGGGAGAAGGGCCTCCTTCTAAGTGAATGTTTGGGGACAGATGACACCTGCACAGCTCTGCTTGGAACTTGGGAAAGGTGACTTCTGTGGAAACAGGAGGTATGTATGGTGAGGATGAACTTGGCCATTGAGACCCTGAATGTTCACTTGCCCACTTCCTTCAGGCTGGGCCACCGAAGCTGTGCTCTCTGAAGCCAGAAGAAAAAATCCAGTATGGCCTTAGAACCTGAGGGATTGTGTGTGAGCTCTCCAGGCTCCTCCTTCTTGTATTTGTCTCTGATTCTCATTTCTTGCCTGAAACATATATGTTGCAGTTTTTTGGCCATTTCTTTCTAGGATTAAGATATTTGAATTCTCTTGCCCCACAAATTGGGCTCAACTTGCCCAGATCAAGCTTTAAGCGCCAGCAGCCTGGACGCAAGGGGCACTGCTGCCCTCTGGTGGTCAGTCAGCAGAATGTCAAGGTTCCCTGTGCGGGGCGGGGTCCCTCTCCTCTCTGGGACAGCAGCTTTGAGTCCTCAGGTGAATGAATGTCCTTTTACTGTTCCTGGAACACAGCAGGCTGGTCCTTGCCTCAGGGTCTTGTCTTTGCTGTTCCTTCCCCTGAAATGAAATTCCTCCAGCTCTCAGGTGGTAGCTGCCTTCTCATCCTGTAGCTTTCAGGCCAATGTAACCTCCTCAGGAGAGCCCTCCTGGACCACTGTGTCTAAAATAGCCCCTCATCCCAGCCTGTCTTGTTGCTCTGTTTGAAAACATCTATTTAGGTTCTGTGTCTCTCACCTCTCTCCCTCACAAATGGAGGCTCTGGGAGGTCAGTGCTCCTGTTTTCTTGGTCACTGGACCTTAGTGCAATGTATGTACTAGGCTGTCAAAAATACTTGTTGAAGGAGTAAATAAATGTCAACAACAGAAATTGATATTTAAGTGCAGCTTCTGGTTCTCAAAAGCACACTCTGATATGGCCCTGGTGCCTTTCACTCCCATTTGACAGATGAACACACTGAGGCCATGGAGATTTATGTGAGCTGCCTGAGCACTCAGTAGGGAGGAACAAGCAAGAATCCTTGGTGGCTTTTCCTGTGCCTGCTCAGTCCTCTGCTCTGGAGGGAGCCTCGGGGATTCCCAAGCTGGCTGGCCTCTGCCAGGAGTGGAGGTCTTGTGCAGGGGTCCATACCTTTCTTCCTGGCCTGGTTGCTGAGGAAGGCTAAGCTGTACAGTTGTCTGAAACTGTGTTTGTGGATTTGGGGGTGTGAAGCAGGAAGGGGTGACAGGACAGAGGGCAAGGGGCAGATGGGAGATGGCAAGAGCGCTGGAGCTTACTGTGACTTCTCCAGGGCCAGGCTTTGTCTGTGACATTCTAGGCTTCATCCAGGCCCCAGAGGACCCAGCCCTGCCACCACTGGAGAACTGCTCTGGTTTTGGACCCAGCAATGGTCAAGGGCTCTGGCTGTAGTGCCTTGGACTCTGGGCTGGGTGTGGACAGGAAGTGGGGGTCCAGCCTGGGATGAGCAGGCCTGGGCAGCTCTGTCTCTGGGTGTCTGGCTGTCAGCAGCACCTTCTTCTTGGCTGGCCTGGCGAGAGCTTGATGGAGTCTGTGAGGTGATTCTCGCGGATGCCTTGGTACTGGGGAAGGAAAGAAGAATCAGTGTTCTCACAGCCTGAGATCAAAGAGCATGGCGGTCTAAGCTGCTGCTGCTTTTTTTTTTTTTCAATACTGGGGTTTGAACTCAGGACCCCTGCTGACTTACTAGACTGGCACTGTACCAGTTGAGCCACACACTTGGTCCTTTTTGGCATTAGTTATTTTTCAGGTATGGTCTCAAGTTTTTCCTCCCAGCCTGGCCTTGGACCATGATCCTTCTATTTGTGCCTCCCCAGTAGCAGTTGGGATTATAGCAGTGAGCCACTGTGCTTGCCCCTGTTCTGTTGTTTAATGGTTTGGGCAGGCTGGGTGTTTTCTTTCCTTCCCATGGTACTGCTAAGAAACTGAGGCTCAAAGGGAAAGCCATCACCTTTCTGCCCTCTGTCTTCTCCACCACCCCTCTTCTTCCCAGGAGCTGGGAGTTGTTTGGTGGCTGGAGTCGGAACTCAGATCTCCTGACCTCCAGCCAGGTCCCCTACCTTTCCATTCTCCAGAAGGGAAAACTGAGGTGACACCTGGGTTCAGGCAGAGATGATGACAGCCCACTCCTCATTTCTGCTGGAGACCTCTCTCCACAAACACCCCAATTTCTCCAATCTTCTTTTCACCTAGGCCACCACCACCCTCTTCTCATTGGGCACCTGAAAGAGCTCAGCTGCCCTCTGTCCTTCCCAAGTGCAGGGCGCCCTCCCCAGACAGGCTCAGTGTCTTTTCTTGGCCTCTCTGCTCCTCTATCTGCTCTCCTGTCCTGACAAGGACCCAGAAAATGTCCTCTGTTGAACATCATTGAGAGCCCCTTCCTCTGTTCCTGGTAAGGGTAAGGTGATGAGAGGCCCCTCCTCAAGCCAAGGGTTCCATGGGGCTGAAGGATTTCTTCTTAAACGGACAGAACTCGCCCTTTCTCTGCTGTGACTTCTGCCTCTCCATAGCGCCATGCTCCACCCCCCATTAGTTCTGTACGTGTGAGAGCAAGGCATTTAGCAGGTGTGCCCTCAAGGTGTGTAAGCAGCTCAGGCTGTGCTGGAGTGGCAAAGTGGTACCTGGTGTCCTTGTCTGGGGCAAGATGCAGGGACAGGGTTGTGTCTTCTGTCTGAATTTATCTCCTCTCCAGTGCCCAGGTGCAGGCTGGGAGCCCAGCTGGTGAGCACCAACCACAACTATAATGCCCATGACGCTGAAACTCAGGAGATGGCATAAGGCCCCACTTGCTGCACTTTGATGACAGTGGCCCCCAAGAGACACAGAAGGTCCCCTGGTGCCCTGTCACTCACTGCCACCACCACTTGACCATTGACCATGCCAGCCCAGGTCATGGTGCTGGGCCCTGGAGCTGGCCTTTCTTCACAGGGTGCCTGTCCTGCACAGCCGCCATTCTGACCCCTCCCTCATCAGGTCAGAGCATTAGCTGTCTTTAGTCACCTTAGGTGATGAGTCTTGACTATCCATCAGCCAACTCTTTTGAATTCTTACAGTATTTGAATAGGAAGAATTAGTGCCAGGGGTTGGTGGCAGTCTGAGCTCCAGGGTGGCCCACATCCTTGCTTGCTGTCCCCTTCCTCTAGGGGGGATCCTGGCTCACAGCTGCAGAACACCTCAGTGCCTCCCCAGCTACCACTTGAGAAATCAGGTGCCTGAGGAGGGACACCCTGGCGGCCTGGCTCCTCCCAGTACAGCCTGGGTGCCCGCTCTGACCTATGCTGGACAGTGTCTAGTTCTTCAGCTGTGCCCTTCTGCTGTGGACAGGGACCCTCACTTCACTGAGTTCATTTTAGTTAAAACCCAGCATTTCTGAACTTCTTAGTGAGGGACTTCACTGTTGGAGTGAAAGGTCTCTCTCTCTCTCTCTCTCTCTCTCTCTCTCATGGGGTCTTACTATGCAGCTCAGGCCTCAGGCTGGCCTGGAACTCATGATCCTCTTGCCTCAGCCTCCTGAGTGCTAGGATTACAAGTGAGTACCACCATGCTTGGCTAAATGATATTCATTTGATAATGACATCATTGTGCTCCTCAGAAACTTGTGGTAGTTTCTGGGTTTCCTCTCTCATCCTAACAGCCAAGGGACCTTGGCTGAGATCAGGAACTTTCCTTTTGGACTCAGGGATAGGTCTGCTGTTTCAACAACCCTGAGTGTGCCACAACCTCACGTACATGCAAGGCCCAGTGGAGACCTCAGAGTCCTGAGCCTCTCACAATGGAGAGGAAGGCAATTTAGAGACCCTGGAGCCACTATAGGGCTCTCTGGGCAACCTCATGTTTTAGGATCAGAACAGATGCTGTCCCAGGCAGGTGTGAGGAACTTCCACATTCATTGCCTGGGTAAAGCTGGAGGGCTTCACTCCAGTTCTCCTAATAATAGTTGTATCTTCCCAGGTCCAAGTCAACCTTGAGCTCTCTAGTTTTGATATTCCTTTGATAATGATATCATCTTGCTCCTCAGATTTCCTGCAAAACTTCTGAGTAGCCTGCAGGCTGTAATCAGGATCCTATGCAGTTTTTTTCCAGGCCCTGGTCATCTGGGCACCCTGCACCACTAACTGTAAAGTAACACAGGGAAGTTCTAATGCATGAATCACTTCAGTGGGGCATGACTGAGGGCATGTCCTTGCTCTCTGCCCCCCAGCCTGGTCCTCTCAGCAGCCTTGCCTTTAGGTCTTGCATCCTGAGGACCTCAGAAAGGTGTATGTCTTCACTGAACAGATGCTAGCCGCCCCCTTCTCTCCTGGATCGTGTCTTTCCCCAATTAATGGAGAGGAACTGAGCCTCCATGCCCCATCTCATGCCTCTGGAGCTGGGCCTGGCCAGCCCCAGCTGGATGGTGTTGTTAACCTTCTAAGAGCAAGATCCCACCATCCTGATTCCATAACATAGGGGTGTGTGTGTGTTTGATCTTCTTTAATTACGAGGGTATTTTTTTTTTCATGGTACTAGGGTTTGAACTCAGGGCCTCACACTTGCTAGGCAGGCGCTCTACCACTTGAGACACTCTACCAGCCCTTTTTGTATTTGGTATTTTCAAGATAGGGTCTTGGAAATTATTTGCCCAGGCTGACTTTGAACCATGATCCTCCTGATCTCTGCCTCCTGAATAGCCAGGATCACAGGCCTGAGCCACCAGCGTCCAGTTTATGAGGGTATTCTTAATTGTATCTTGGAATAACTAAATACCCTAATCCTAGAATGTGGCCAAATTGGGACAGTAAAGTAATCTACCTACTTAGACAAAATCTTAGACAAAATGCTACCTGGGTACCTATGTGGACTCTGTAGGTGACTCACAAATCTCTTTCTAGTCCAGAGCTCACTGCTGAACTCAGACCTTTCCAGCTGGCGCTCAAGGAAGCTCCAACGCAATGTGCTCAAGTAGACCCCACTGCCTTCTCTCACACAACCTCTGCTTCCTGTCTCAGCTCCTCTCCTCCCTGGACTACTGCTGTAGCTTCTTAGTTAGCCGTGGAGCCCACCCTCTGTAGCACGAAGCTCTCCTGAGGAGAACCCTATACACAGCTCCCACTTAAACACAGCTACCTTTTATTTAACCCCTTTTTTTATTCTATATTATTTTATTTACCCCTCACGACAAGCCCATGAGGAAGACACTATTGATACTTTACCTGCGAGCAGTGGTGGCTTAAGGAGGCTGCTGACTTGCTTAAGAACACGAAGTGAGTAAGAGGTGGAGCCAGGATTTAAAGTCCACTCCATCCAACTTCAGAGCCCCAGTTCCTCCCTCCCCCCAGCCTGGGGCTCCCTCCTTGCAGTGTTCCTCTCACACCTTTCTCTCTGAGCCCCCAGCAGGTGGGAAGGAGCTCATACCTCCCCAGGAAGGAGGGCAAGGTCCTGTAGGAGAGGACTTTGAAAACTTTTTTTGACCTCAAAATATGTTTGCAGACTTCTATTTCACCTTTAAAAATCCATGTGAATTTTACATCCTGGGCCCGGTGCGTTTATCTGGGCTTTGTTTGGTTTTTTGATCACGCTGGTGTTTGAACTCAGGGCCTCACGCTTGCTAGGTGGGAACTGTTACCGCTTGGGCCACTCCACCAGAATATTTGCCTGAATATGAAAATGTTTCTCTTCCATATTTCTGAGAATGAGACCTGGCAGAAAGACGTGTCTTGTTGGGCTTCAAGGTCCTGAGTGGGCTCCTGAGTACACTGGACAGTCCAGCAGCATTGTCTGGAATAATGGACATTCCTTATGAACTCTGATCTCCTCTTGGTGGTGGCCCATGAGTCCTCTGAGATCTGGTGTTGTCACCCTTTGCTGGCTTCATCAGCCACATTCCTCCTCCCCCAGGAGCCCTCAATACTATATTTCCTTCCCAGGGAACTCACGTTTCTCACACGAGCTCCATGAACTCAAGTCCAGACCTCTGGCCTTGATTATCCTTTCTACCCTTCTTACCCTCCCGCTCACACCCCCAGGGACCTAGGGAGTCCACCTGCAAACTGTGAATTGCTTTTCCAAACTCTGCCCCTGCTGGGGCTCCGAGAAGACATCCTTGCTCTCCCCTTGCCACCAGCTGTCTCTGAGACACCTCTGGACCTTCCACAGTCCCCTGCCTCACTCGTCACTTCGTGACTGTCTGTCTTACTTTATTGACCTTGAGAGTGCTGGGGTCTGAATCTCCAATTCAAGCTGGAAAGCTTGGGAAATGTTTTTGAATTGAATTATTTTTGACTTATAGATGAGGAAACTGAGGCCCAGATAAATCATATGTCTTGCCCAGGTGTCTATCTGAAAGTACCAGGGCAGAACCCAAATCCAGGTCTGTCTGACTGGACGCACTATACCTATAACCTCCAGACTTCTGCTCAGTTAATTTCCTATACAAGTCAGGGAGACTGTCACAGGATTGCCAGCCTATTCTCTTGCCAAGAAAGGGTGTCAAAAACAACATGCAGGGGTGACCCAGTAGGAAGGACATAATTTAACCTCAATTCAATACGAAGGGCATGATTTCAAGACTACAGGACACCTTCTCTGAAGGACAGATGCTCATCGCACACAGGTACTGTTAGTAGTGCGATGTCTGCTTCCTTGTGACTGAGCAATTGTTGGGGAGTATTTACCATATATCCTGATATAAAGTGATCAACCTTCCTGGGCAGTGGCACAAACAGGCAACCTTCATGTTAGGAGCCAGCCTTCCTGACTATGTGACAAAGCCTCACTTCTGGACCGTGCACTAAGAGATGGACACCGCTCTTCCCTCTGGTAGGAGGCAGTGAGGGCTGGAGGCGAGGAGCAGAAGGCAGACCTGAGATCAGGGCTGGGCAGTGTGAGGAGGGCGAGCCCATGGCTTCCCCTGCGTAGCCACTAGAGGTAGCTGCCGCCTCTCTCCCAGCAGGGCCCTGAGTGCTTCTCAGGACAGCAGGCAGTGCACAGCCAGTTGTCACGCACGGTGACAGCAGGATGATGGCAGATGCTCCCACATAAGGAAGCTTCTGATCCCCCATCTGCACCTACTCATTTTCTCCACTCAAAGTCATTGCCACCATGATGCTCTCTCTCTTTTAAGAAGCCTGCCTTGATTCAAGGCAACAGAATGATGAAATCGGCTGAGCTCCTTCCCATACCAATCTCCTGGACCCTCTTCTGAGCTTCCCAACTCTTTATCAGAATAGCGTTAAAACCCTGCCCCTGCTTCTAGACAGCTGTCCATCACCCCCTCCCTTCTGCTCCCTCCACTCCCGCACAGGGTGGGTTGTCCTGTGGCCCTCCCCCATCACCAAGTCATGCCTTGTCTATCTGTCTATCTGTCTCTTTCCTCACACTGAGGGTCCCCTGGTCCCCACATGGTGTGGGCCACATATGCCACACTCAACACACACTTGTGAGCAATCACACCAAGGGGTTTGAGTCTCTTCCTCTTTCTGATTGGAGGCTGTCGGCAGCTCTTGCAGGTTGGATGTTCCACTTGGACAAATGCTTGGCTCCATGGGGCATCTGTCCTGACCATGAGGATTGGACTAGAACACCTCCTCTCAAACCGTTAGTAAATTAGAGTCTTCAGGGGCGAGGCAGAGATAGGACCGGGGTTTTTAGATGCTCTACGAGGCATCATGATAACCAGCTAGATTGCGGACGCACTGATCTCATACATGCTCTCAGGCCCTTTATGCCTCTGGCGTCTGTGGTGCCAGAAATCTTGAGCTCATTTTGCAACTAATTCACTAACAGGATGGACACTCCTCTTCAAACCCCACCCCCTACGTCCTCATCTTTGCCCAAGGACCCCAGCCCAAGGCCAGTCCTGGCTGGTGCCATCACTTACCCTGGATAGAGCTCGGCTGGCCAGCACTTCAAAGGCTTCCACCACATTGATGTTATTCTTGGCACTGACTTCAAAGTAGGGCATACCCTTCTCTTTACACCAGCCTTGAGCCACCTCCTGGGGCACCTGAGTGAGGGAAGAAAGATCACTGCTCCTGTATTGTTATCATGGCTGCCACCACCCACCATTGTCATGGCTATACTTTCATAGCCATGGAAGTTTGTCCCCTCCAAACTCACATCCCCTGTGTGACAGTGCTAAGACGAGAAGTGATTAGGACATTGAGAAGGAATAACGTCTTTCTCCAGGGAGCGAGTTCTTGCTTGAGGAGACTGGATTAGCTACCCTGAGAGCAGGTTGTTAGAAAGGAAGGCTGCCGCTCAGCTTTGCCTCTTTTGTTCTCACTACCCCTTCCACTTTCTGCCTGAGTCAAAGCAGCAAGAGGCCCTCGCCAGCACCATGTTCTTAGACTTCCCAGCCTCCAGAACAAACCATCCCGGTTATTCTGTTACAGCAACAGAAAACGGATTAAGGCAGTCACACTCCCACCATCATCACATCCCTAACGTCATCACATCTCCCATCATTACCACCGTCACTATAGCCACCATCACCACCACCACTCTAGTTTCTTGAGACACTTCCACATGTTTTCTCTTAAATTTGCAACATGAATCTCTGAAGTGAGTATTGCGAGAACTGAGGCCTGGAGAATTAAAATCTTTGCCCAGACTGTATGGGACTGAGCAGGATTTGAACACAGAATCAGAACTTACTGCACTTGCTGCCTTCCTAAGACCTGAACTAGGAACTTCTTCCTGCCATTGGCTCTTTCTTCAGTCCTTTCAAAGGGAAGTGGACATAACAAACACCGGCCAGGCAGGGCAGGGAAGGAGGACTTCCTTCCTAACCCCTGGCTGTCTGTACAGACCCCAGGCCCTACGAATCCTCTTTCCCCAGGTAGAGTCCCAGCTCAGTTAAGAAGTTCCTGCTACGGGTCAACCTCTGTATTAGATACTTCATCATATTTTAACTCACCGAATGTGTTCACTAACAACACCTCCATGTTATAGACAGAAACAGTGAGGCTCAGAGAGGTTCAGGGACATGCCCCAGATCACACGGAGGAGAGAAGGCAGAGCTTGGGTACAACTTTAGCTCAGCACTCCCCTGGCACGCAAACTGCTTCTGCAGGGGGCAGAGATGTGACGACAGGGCAGAGATGTGACGAGACATGGCTTCCAAATGCAAACAGCTGATCATAGTTTGGGGCTGTTGGATTGGAGATGCCCTGGCAGCCATTGAGATTACGTACAAAGACAATATTATCGCTGAGTTTGATGTCCTATTAGTTATTTTTTGGGGGAGGGAATATAACCACATATGGATCACTTGCCACATGTGATTCTTTATAAGCATTATTTCAATTTATTTAAGGAATCAAGGTCTTTCTTCTGGAGAAAGGATGATTCTGCTCCTCTCCCAGAATGCAGTGCAGGCAGGGATATCAAAGACTGTCAACCAACCTCATCAAGGTGTGTCTGCTCACTCCTGAAGCTTCTGGGAATTTCTATCTTATTGGGACTAAAAAATACCATTGCTGTCCACTCTCTCTCTGGTCCTTGCTCCCCTGGCCTCAGGGGTGGCAGGAAGGTCCAGTGGTCTGCATCTTTCTTTCACAAAGCTCTGCTGTCCACCAGCAACAACAAAGCTCTGGCATTGTGAGGCTTACAACCTCAGGTAGGAGGTTGAAGACGGGGGTCAGTTAGGCAGTCTGTCTAGTCTCCCAGGTACAGCAGACCATGAGTGGAGCAGAGAGAATCCCTAAGATCTAATCGTGGCCTCTGATCACAAGCTCCTCCTGCCTTTGGGAGAAGGGACCCCAGCATTGGCCAGATGTTCCCTCCTGTGGGACACAGATGCCCAAGAACTGGTGAGCAACCAAGACTCCTCACACAGTTTGGGTAACATCCTGGATGATTTGTAGGAAAAATCACAGATGGCTGGTCGTGTCACCAATAACACGCAAATAACTAATCATTAGACATAAATATTCCTTACACCTTGATAGCATTTTAGGCACTAGAAGGATTTTGTATCTTTCTGACTATTTGAGGGAATTCTATTTCTTTTACCTTCTAGCTTCTTTATCTCCTGCTTCCTGTCCAGTCTTTCCCCTCTCCAGTGCTGAGCATTTAACTGGCCTTAGGGTTGGAGCTCAGGAGTTCCTGTCAGCTTCCAGGTCAAGTGAAACAGAGTAAAGTAACTCTGCTTCTTCAGGAGGCAGGGGATTTTTTATATTTCAAGGCATGAGAAGCAGAGTCCAGGAATGGTGCCCAAGGTCACCCAGTGACAGAGCTAAGAAGGCCTGTCTTCAGCTCCAGTGCCTATCTCTGCCGTCCATTCCATCCTGCCAGACAGTGACTGGGTCTGCTGGCTGCCCAGTAGGACACACTGTTTATCTCATTTTTCTCTGTGTGGTTTTAGGGAATGATTTGATACAAACTTCAAAGTATCAGTTGAGATTATGTTACAAAAGATTTCTTTTTCTATTCCCCTGAGCCTACCCCACCTTTAGCTGGCTAGGAAGAAAGCCACCCAGACAGCGTTTTTCAGTTTTGTTCAATTCCAGCTACAGTTTCATGACTTTTAAAATCACCTTATCTTTTATTTACGAAGTACAAAAGTTATTTATAACTCAGACTCTGGCTCTGGGAATAAATTCAAGGTGTGGTGTTTGGGGACGTGGGACACATGAAAATCTTAGAAGTGTTATTTCCATGAATTTTCCTTTTGACAATCAATGGACTATTCATATTTTAGTTTTGCTCATTCACTGGAGACCAAATATTTGACAAAATTAGGCCAGTTCCCATCATCTTATTTGTTGTTTCCCACCTTGAATGTATTAAAATGACTGATTATGTAAGTTTAAAATGAGCCTGTCTAACACTAGTTAGTAAACCATCAAATCATTACTGACAGAGAATTCTTTCAGAAAACAAGGTCCTCATTCCATGATTTGGTAGTAAGTCAGAAATTACTTCCCTGACCATACAGCAAAGAATTCCTGTCCTATGCGTAAATACCTTGTAGCACAGATGCTCAGGAACTGTTCTTCCTGAGAAACAATTTTTTCATTGTTACCTTCTATAGAAGTAGTAGAAATTTCTTTAAAAGTTATCAGTAATTTTCTTTAAATTATTTTGGATGTGTATGTGTAGTCATTGTGATAAAGTATATATGACATATAATTTAACATTTTAGTCATTTTTATTTTATTTTTTGGTTACTGGGGATTGAACTCAGGACCTCATGCTTGCTAAGCAGGTGTTCTACCATTTAATCCACAGCTCCAGATCTGTTTTGTGTTTGGTATTTTTGAGACAGGGTCTTGTGACCCATTTGCCTAGACTGGCTTTGAACCGAGATCCTCCTGATCTCTGCCTTCCTAATAGCTAGGATTACAGGCATGAGTCACTGGTGCCTCACCCCATTTTAGTCATTTTTAAGCATATAGTTCTGGGGTGTTAAGTACATTTCTATTGTTGTGCAACTATCAGCCCTACCCAAATCTAGAACTTTCTCATCTTTCCCAATCTAGCAAAGTACTTTCAAATATTTATTTTTTAATCGAGTAAAAAAAACTGCTGTGATTCCCAGTCTGTCCCTTAGCGATAGAAAGGAGGATAACAACCACATCATTTCCTTTGATCCTTAAACAATCTCAGGAAATCTGTGTTCTGGTCTTTGTTCCAAAGAGGAAGAAACTGATGTGTATACAGGACACACATGGAGCATGGTGGTGTGGATGGGACCCACCTCAGCTAGAGAGACTGAAAGAGTGCTCAGCCCCTGGGCTCTGTGCATGTGGGCATGTGCCTCCCAGATTCAATTCTTAGCTTTTCTCCCATTTCTTCACCCTCCCAGCCAGAGGCTAGCAGACCCCTTGGTAGTCCTGTGCCACAGAAAGCACATCTGAGGCAGGTTGCTGCCCAACCTCTTCCCTTAGCTGTACAATCCTGGGTCTCAGAATTAAAATCCCTCTTCTCTCCCCACCCACTTCCTCCTCTTCACTTCTCTGTTCTCATTTCATTATTGCACAGAACTTCCTCACCTCTAGTTCCTACTAACCACGACCCTCCAAACCCTTTCTCTGGGTCTACCTGCTTGACAAACTCCCCTTAGTCCCCTTTCTCCAGAATCTTCTTTTTGCCATCTCATCTTGGCTGACTCTGGCTTTTCCTGGGGTCACTGCTCCCCCTCTCTGCATCCTGTGGGGCTGTTCCCGTACACACCTCACCCCAGATGCCAAAGGCACCTCAGTGCTTCCTTCAATCTTTATTCTTCCTCTTTCTGTAAATCAAAGCTCATCACTGCCCAATGGGACCCTGTCAGTCATCTCCTGCTCTTCTCCCCTTGAGGCAGCCCTCATCCTTGTGTGGCTCCCTCCCCTCTCATCACACAGCACAGCTCACAGTAGCCTTGGAGTTCCTTCCTCTCCAACAGTCTCTCCACTTCTGCCTCTTCTTCCCAGGGTCAGACCCTGGACCTCTGCAAATCCTACACCTGACTTCTCTGTATATCTGTAGTCTGTTTTCCTTTTCCCACAGCCTGCCCCCCGCACCCCCCCCCACCAATCCTGCCTTGCTCTTCAATCTCAGACACATCTTCCCATGGGGTCCCATAACCTACTTCTCTCCAGGGCATCTCAGCCCTAGTCTTTGGCCACTCTGGCTTAGAAAAACCTCAATCCCAAATCTCCTGTTTCTGGCATTTATCTCACACAAGGCCAAGAAGAACACAGCAAACTCTACCTCAAGTTCATGATCTCCTCCTTCAGATGAGCCCTTGGTGTCACCCATCAACTTTGTCTTTATCCTTGATCAGCTTCTCCTCCCATTCCTCCCAGGGGTGACTGACAACGCTTCACCCTGGTTCTTTTTTTTTGGGCAGTACTGAGGCTTGAACTCAGGGCCTTGTGCTTGTTAGGCAGGTACACTACCACTTGAGCCATGCCTCCAGGCCTTCATCATGATTCTCAAGCCTTCTATTCAGTTTCCTCCTCATCAGAATGTGGAAAAAGTTGGACTCTCAGTCTTGAACTTTCTCCACTTCCCACCCTACCACCTATAGACACGTGAAGCAAGATGGTAAAATGGACATTTGGGCACCGTAGTTTGATAAATGTCAGATACGAAGTGAGTTGGAGTCATACCACCCTGGGATTCTGCATTTTCCAGAGGCTCATGACCAAGAATCTCTTTGATGACTCTAAAACCCACAACGTGGCTAGAAAAGGGAGGATTAGAAAGGATTCCTTTGGCGAGAAACTTGTATTGTCAGTACAACTACTCCTGTCTCCCCAAGAGGGGACCAGTAAAGAAAGCCTCATTTCTAGTCAAAAGATGGCTTCATGGAGGATTGTTATCATATGGCCCCTGGAGTCTGATGGACATGGCACCTGAGGAATCGGGGACAGAGAGAGAACTTCCTACAGCAGAGCTGGAATGCATTAGTGCATCTTGCACAGGTGAGTTCTACAAGGGACTGCCACGCTAGGACCCTAAGAGGACTGCCTGAAGCTGAGGAGGGAGAAGGGGAGAATGCGAGACCCTTGTTGGGGGAGGTGCAGGGAAATGTTCCTTGTGGAGGCTTCTTAGGGACTCAAAGGAGTGACCCACAGAAGAAAGAGCTTGCCATGCCTACAGCCCAGAGAACACAAAACTGCCTTGTGACAATACCAGACAATTAAGAATGGTCCCACTCTCCTGACCACTTCTCCTTCCTTCTCTATCCAGATAGGATCTCACCACACAATTACCATCTCAAATAAGGGGGCCGGGACTGTGAAGTAAGGAGAGTCTCCCTGCTGCTGCCCCAGTGAGGAGAAGAAAGGGAGACCCCTTTCTTTTGAATGAACCTAGTACTGTAATTGGATATCTGAGACTGGATATCAGTAATTTGAACTTGACACTGGGCTTCCAACCTGAAGCAGCCGCACAGAACTGAAGACCTCTAGCTGTTTCCAGTATAGACTTTCCTCTGGAGTTTTGTTCTTATGTGTTCCAAGGCCTGCCAGTCCTCTCCAGCCACTCAGATTCTGCACATCCAAACCAAACGTGTTCTCTCTTCTCTACCAATGGTGGGAGCAGCTGGAAGTCCCCTCCCACTTCCCTGTCCTCCTCCTGTCCATCACCATACTTCATGGTACCAAGTGATGGCTCAGTTCTCCTGGAAAACCAATGTGACAATAAGATTCAAACTCCATGATTCTGTTCCCTAGTACTTCTGTCTGTGAAACACTAAGACAACTTGGTTCAAACAGCTTTTTTTTTTTTTTGGTGCTACTGAACTCAGGCAGGTTCTCTACTGCTTGAGCCATAGCTCCACTTCTTTGTGCTTTGATTATTTTTCGGATAAGGTCACACTTTTTGCCCAAGCCAGTCCGGACCATGATTCTCTTTTTTCAGGTGATGTAGTAGATTGATAGGTGCATGCTACCATGCCCCAATTTTTTCTGTTTAGATGGTATTTGCAAACTTTTTTTGCCGTTGTTAATCTGGAAGCTAGATCCTTCCAATCTCAGCCCATGTAGGTTGGGATGACAGGCTTGTGCCCTGTGCCCAGCTATTGGTTGAGATGGAATCTTGAGAACTCCCTGCCCAGGCTGGCCTAAAACCACAATCTTCCTACTCTCAGCCTCCCAAGTAGCTAGGGTTATAGAGCTGAGCCATCAGTGCACTGCTCAAACAGGTCTTTAAAGCATTATTTGGACTTTGTTTGGCACAGAGCATCTTTACAAAGTAAGTGACCTCTATTCCTTTCTCATTCATGGGCAAGGATGAAAAGAGCCCTCCACTCAATGGCCCTGTCATGGTCAACACCTGCTCAAGTGGAGCCGCTGCAATCATGGAGCAGACCAGTTGTCGTCATGTGGCCAAGCCACGATCTGAATAGGTTTAAAGTAATTAAAAAAATTGTTGCTTTCCCATAAAGTTTATAGATCTAAGAATTTACAAATGCAATCTCCACCTGGCTCTAGGCAGCAACACTGTCCTTCAGACAAATTCCAGTTCCACTGGGACCTAACTTCCAACTCTGCTGAGGCCTTCACTCCTTCATTTCCTGTTGCCCTCAGTTCTCAGCTCACATCCTGCCGGTTCTTCAGCCTGGAACCCCCCTCTTCTAGGACACCTGTTCTATAGTCTCAGCTTTGGTAGATGTCCCTTCATTATGGTCCCCAAATCATCAAGGTACATCTCCATTATTGTATTTACCACATGGTACCATAATTGTCTCATAAAGTGTGTGTATCAACAACTAGACTGGAATCCTTGAGGTAATAACTGGGCCTGATTTACTTTTGTATGCATGGGACTAACAGAGTGCCTGGCACACAGGTGCTCGCACAAAGTTTGTTGAACGACTGAACAGTACCTTCCTGTCTGCCAGATCGATTTTGTTCCCCAGCACCACCATGGGATAGGACTGCTCCATGGGGATGATCTTGGCCAAAACATCGCCCCGCCAGATATCCAGGGCTTCAAAGGACTCCAGGTCAGTGACATCAAAAGCCAGGAGACAGCCATCGGAGCCCTTGTAGAATGTAGACACTGTGGAACGGAACCGTTCCTGACCGCCTGTGTCCCAGATCTGGAGGGAAAGAGCAGCCGCCCCATGGGGCTGTGATGAGTGACTGGAGGGAGGTTCAGTCAGGTCACATCGTGCTAAGGCTCCCTGTTCCGAGAAGGGAAAGCCCCAGCCCAGGTGTGTGTGGTCCTTCCACGTGGGCACCGTACCCGCCCACCCACGTACACTACGACACCTCTGCAGTGTTGTTAACGTCCTGCCAGTACTTTCACATTTGAGCCCTCATTTTTAACTCTGGGTTATCACAGTAGGAGTTTTATTCCCATCTGACAGATTTGAAAACTTGGACCTTGAGAGTGACTTGCCCAAGTCCACTGCCAAATTTTCCAGGGGACCTGAGGCTAGGCTGGGATCTCCCAGCTCCAGAATTAGTTATCTTCCTTCTAGATCAGGCATTAATACTATCCATTCCCTCCCCGCCACACACAAAAAAAGGGGGCAGATAGTAAATATTTTTGACCTTGCAAGCCACACTCTTTCTGTTGCATCTACTAATCTCTGTCATTGCGGTGCAGACAGTAAATAAACAGATGGGTGTGGCTGGGTCCCAGTGAAGACACCAGATTTGGCTCATGAGTTGTGTTGAAGTCTGCTGACCTCTGCTCCAGACCATTATATGGTTCACTCTGCTATGCAAGTGACTGTGCAGGGAGAGTGGGTGATTTTCAGGTGTGGATAAGTCGAAGAGGGAAAGAGAGGACTACTCACCTGGAGTTTCAAAGTTGTGTCATTCAGGGTGATGGACTTGGAGAGGATGCTGGCCCCCAGTGTGGTCTGGTATTCCTCATGAAACATCTTATGCACATATTGGTGAAGGAGGGAGGTCTTCCCCACACTGACAAAAAAGCCCAGACACACATGAACACACGCCTGCAGACATACACACACGTGCCCTGGCACTATTCTCACCAACCCCTTGTACTGCTGTCTCTCCCTGAGATTCTAGATTTCTAACATCTGTGGTCCAGGGACTAAGGAACTAGGGTAAGTTCTAAAAGCAGAAACCAGTTAAAGTGAGCAGAGAGGTTTGGAGAAGATTGACTGCCACAGTAGAGCCCAGGTTCTTCCTAGGTGTGGCTGGCAGTAGGACACAGAGCAGTGGAATGGCTCACACTGCCAGTTACTGCAGAGAGAAGACCAAAGCCATCAGCATCCTGCTTGCCTCTTTCTCACAACTAAGTCCCATTCCTTGAGGTGGGATGCACTTCCACTGCCACCTTGACTCAGAAAGGGCCCCTTGGGAGTGGCCCTGAGCAGGGTTTCACTTACCCAAGTGCTCCGACAATTATGAGCTTCAAGTCCACCTTCTTTTGGGGATTCATGAAGAGGCTTCAGAGTCTGTAGGGAAACAGAGGTCATCTTCACATTGGCCAGTGTTTCCTGTGGCCATTGTCACTGAGGCTGGCCCTTTTCTATGTGCAGGTCTCTGCATTGCGCCCAGGCTATTTTCCGAAAGAGACACATGAGTCAGCAACCCTTTCACTCCCTCCTCTTACTTCCTGTAGTGGGGGGTCTCTCAAGGCTGGAAGGACAGTGCTCCCACAGGACAGGCAAGTCACTCACCCTTCACTCTACCAGCCCTGCTCTGGGAGGCAGCCTAGAGTGCCAAGAAGACAGGACAGGATTGAATAGTGGCCTCCCAGACAGTCCAGCCTGGAGCCAGGGATGGAGGACAGTGTGAGAAGAGGAGATGGGTGGGCAGGACAAGGGTCCCTTGTCAGAACGGCCCAGAGGCTTTGGATGCAAGAGCTCCCTCCCCCAGCCGGAGGTGAGGCTGAATGGAAGAATCAAAGGCTCTTTTCTGCTGCAGCTGGTGATGTGTGGGGAGGGATAGAATAGGGAGGGGTTGGTACATGTTTCTGGAAAGCTACTCGACAGCAAGTGTTGAGAACCTTAAAAATATTTCTGACCTCCATTTCTAGGAATCTGTTCTAAGGACATAATCGGAAATGAGAACAAAGAGTCTTGTTCAAGAACATTCTTCACAGTATTGTTTATAAACACCAGACAATAAAGAAGTGATAAAATCATGGCACACAGTGTACTACTAAGCAGCCATTAAAATGGAGTTTCTGAGCGTTTTATCATAACATGGGAAGGTACCCGTGCCCTGGGTCTAAATGAAAAGCAGACGATCCTAGACTATACATATATCACCATATGTATTTAAATGTATATGGCATTAAAATTGGGTTAATAAAATATTCTTTCCTTCTGTTTCTTGGCAGTGCTGGGGATTGAATCCAGGGCTTTGGGTATGCCAGACCAGCGCTCTAATATTGAGCAACACCCCTAGCCCTCAGCACGTTGTTCTGAAATACAGAATGTGTACATCATGAGGTGTTCGAATCGAACCAACGCTCGCATTACTTCCCACACTTACCATCGTCTTTCGACAAGAACACACAGGGCCTTGTACTAGACAGTGAGATGAAGGAAGTAGGAACCCACTGTAGAGAGCACCACAGACCAATGCGGCCAATGGACACCTCAGAACGTATACAGTGCCTGAAATATGGTGGTAAAGATAAAGTAGGCCCTAAAGAAATGGAACACGTGGCTGGGTGTGTATGTGTGTGTGTGTGTGTGTGTGTGTGTGTGTGTGTGTGTGTGTGTATGTGATGTTTTCCAGGAGGGAATGAAATCAGCAAGATCTGGGGATAGAGGAAGGAGAAAGTGGTTGATTGGCTTCAGGGAAGGGTGAAAAGGGAGGGAGACTAGAAAGGAAGCAAGATTAAGATGGACTGTGGACATTCCTTACTCATTCATTCACCGACTCATTCATTAATTCACTCACTCACTCATTCACTCTTCAATTAACAAACATTCCCAATTGTCCAGACATTTAGAGGAAGGGAATTCCAGGTATTAACCCAGGCTGGCATATGGCAATAAAGTTACTGCCCACAAGGGAAACCAGCCAAGGGAGAAGGGGTTCAGAGGCTTCTGCAAGGGGTGGATCTCTAAGCATCAGCTATCACTTTGGAAGGAGACTGGGAGCAATGGGGCGCTGTTTTTTAAAGGCTTTGGTACAGTGTATTAACTTTGTTTTAAAAACCAATCAGTGCCTTAGAAAGGAAGCCAGAAACCAAAGGGAGGAAGGGACGAGGTGGAGAAGGAATCGGCACTGGCTGATCACTGGCAGTGGGCAGCACTAAAGTACTCTTCCTCACCACAGCCCAGTGAGATGGGCACAGCCAGGGTTCAGAGAGGTGAGCCACTCAAAACTTATCCAAGGCCACACATTTATAGTAGCAAATGGATGAGCTAGTGCTGAATGGAAGGCCAGAGAAGGTCCTTCTGTGTCTTGGTGCCTTCTGATCACCTGAGTTTGAATCTATGGAAGCTGCATGCACAGAAATCTGAGGCATTGGGCTCAGGTCTGGTGACCTCAGCAAAGCCCTAGGAGAGCTGGAGGACATAGAGAGAGGCAGCCATCAACCAGCAAAAACCCTTGTTCCTTCCTATTATTGCTTATACTCTCTCTTCAACAAAATTAGAGATAAGGGCAAAATAGTTTCTGCCTGGTAGCGAGGGGGTAGGGGAGGAGAGGGAGGGGGCGGGTAGGTAAGGGAGGGGACGGCGGGGGGTAGAAATGACCCAAACATTGTATGCACATATGACTAAAAGAAAAAAAAAAAAAGAGAGAGGCAGCCACAGTGGCAAAGAGGTACAGTGAGAGCTAGGGGACTGGGGTTGCGGAACAGGAGCTGTGTGTGGATCTGCCACAAGGATGGGGAGACCACGATGCTGAAGCATTTGCTCTCACACGCTAATGTGCACACACAGTGACAGAGAGAGGGTGCCTCACACTACAGGCTTACATTTATTAGTCAGGCACTGCGCTGAGAGCTCGCAAATATACAAGGAGACAATGTGCACGTTGTTGTGAGCGTTGCTTAATCAGTACATTGTTATAAAATATTTAACACATTAGACATAGTTATGATGCACTTGCTAGCACAAATTAAGGGCTCAAGAAATGTTAGTTACTTTATCACACGAAATAGCTTGTGAGGTTAGCACTATTATCATCTCTATTTTGCTATCAAAGAAACAGATGTTTATAGCTGGGTGTGGTCACCTACTCCTGTAATCCCAGCTATCTTGGAGGTGGAGATTGGGAAGATCTCATTTTGAGGCTCGTCTGGGCAAAAAGAGAGCAAGACCCCATCTCCACCAATAAAAGCTGACGTGGTGGCATTTGCCTGTCATCGCAGCTATGTGGGATGCCTAAATAGGAGGGTTGTGTTCCAGACCAGCCAGGCTATTTGTGACATGTTATTTAAAAGCAAAAAGGGATGGGGACATGGCTCAAGTGGCAGATCATGTGCGTAGCAAGCATAAGGCTCTGAGTTCAAGCTCTAATAGCACCAAAAAAAAAAAAAAAAAAAAAAAGGAAAGAAAAAAGAAAAAAAGATGAAGTAATGAAGTGGGAAGATACACATGATAATTTAAGTAAAAAAAAGTACTGAACATTTGGTAGAGCACGATCCCAAATTATATAAAGACAAACAACCTGTGTTGACTGTTTAATATAACGCATACTGTCTGTGAATACGCAGAAAGCTGAGCAAGGGGCACCCCATTGTGATTAATAAGAGATATGGGAAAGGTAAAGTAGAGGCTTAGATTGCTTCTGTAATTTAAAATTATCAGATAAAGGCTGGGTGTGGTGGTACACACTGGTAATCCTGGGGAGTCTGAGGCAGGAGAAATGCAAGTTCAAGGTCAGCCTGGGCTACATAGCAAGACTCTGTCTCAAAAAAAAAAAAAATCAAGTAAAGACTTAACCCTCTTTACAAGGATGGATGGATGGCCCCCCAAAGCCATCTGAGTGTGACTTTCTTATCGGGTGAGTCACTTTGGTGACTTGGAGGAGTAGGAATAATACTGGTACCATGGAGAGATCATGAGTTAATGATTTTTGGGGTCACAGCTGTTTCTCATTTCAACATCTTAGATCTTGCTTCCTTCCTTCCTTCCTTCTCTCCCTCCTCTCCCTTCCTCCTCCTTCTCCTCCTTCTTCTCTTCCTCTTCCTCCTCCTCCTTCTTCTTCTACTCTTCCTTTTCCTTCTTCTCCTTCTTCTTCTTTCTCTCTCTCTCTCCCCCCTCCCTCTCTCTACCACTTGAGCTACACTCTCAGTCCTCCTTCACTTTAGACTTTTTGGATAGGGTCTCACACATTTTGCCAGGGCTGGCCTGGTGCCTCAAGTAGTTGGGATTACAAGCAGGCCCCACCTTTGGCCTTGGATGTTTCTTAAGCTTGGTGAATCTGTTCACTCCTGGGTAAAATGGACATCACTCATGGCTGTAGCATATGTCATATACTTACAGCATAACAGGCTCCTGAAGTTGGGAAAGATCCATTTAACAACTGGGAGAGGGAGAGGGGTTTGAGGCAGAGCTTGCTGGTTTCTGAGTGTGAATATGTCCACCAAGGCTGATCTCAGGCTACCAGGACAGAACCTGAACACTTACTGGAAGGTTCTCAAAGGTCACTTAATTCTATCTCTCGGCACTACCACACTTAAGGAAAGTGGAGCCAGACCTGCCCTAGGCTGCTTCTTCCTCCGGCTAGGGGTGGATGTCTCCTTGAGGCCAACTCACAAATGTGCTTAATCCCACTGCCGCAAGCCAGCCCTCTGAGGTTTGAGGTCTTCCCTTTGGGTTTTACATCAGTCATCTTCTGCTCCTTACAACTTGTCCCAGCCTTAACTCTGAGTTCCTCCACCCCTTCCACCAGCCTGGCTCCATTCCCTTAATGTCCCCTCCAAGTGTACTGTCACTGCAGATTCCCTCATTCTACTCCCATGAGGGCAGATATTTGCTGAAGCTGCTATTTAAAAATAACCTTGTCCTTGGGGTTAGGATCACCAGCAGCAAGAGAGTGACCTGGACTGGATCAGTGCAAGAAGGGTGGTGCCTTGGGGCAACCCTGGCAGGGCCTTCCCAGGAAAGTACATGCCGACTGCAGACAATGGCTGAGGTTCCTTCTTGTCTTTTCTCCTCTGCCCTGGGCTGGGCGGTGGCCATGGCTGTCTTTTTATGCCTCTTCCCACCCACTTGGCTGACTCACTTGCTTCAAAGCAGGGCTTCTCCTAGAAACCCGACTGAGTCATGTCCACTGTTGGGTAACTGAGTAGCAGGCGTGGAATGCAGGACCTGCCTTCAGCCAGCCCTGGCCCACGCAGAGCAGAATGCATTCCCCACTGCACGGGAACACCCTTTTCCCCCTCTTGTCTGGCAGCACTTCCAAGGCAGGGCTCTGGAACCCTGATCATTTGCAGAAACTATAGCATGGCTGTCTATGGAGCAAGAAATACTGAGCTTTTGCCAAGTTCTGCAAGAATTGTTATTATTTTTTTGGTGGGAATGGGGTTTGAACTCAGGGCTTTGCATTTGCAAATTTACTGCTTGAGCCACGTCTCCAATCTATTTTGTTCTGGATATTTTGGAGATGGGGGTGTCTCATGAACTATTTGTCTGAGCTGTCTCGATCCTCAATCCTCCTGATCTCAGCCTCCTAAATAGCTAGGATTATAGGTGTAAGAACTCTTGACACTGCTCCATCCTTACCTTTCCACATCCTTGCTCTCTCTACCCCATCGGCCCCAGCCAGAACTCAGGAACAGTTCTGGGTCTTGGGTGAGGTGCCACGAACGCTGGTAGAGACTGGTGAGTAGGGATACCTAAGAATTCTGCAGAGAGCACAGCCCTGCCGTCTCCAACATACAATTTTCCCCGGCTTCTTATCTCACTCTTCGGCATCTGTCTCCACCCTGTCCTTGGAAATGGCAAATATATCCACCCTGAACGGTCTTAAGAGGCACATGTGTCTATGACAAAAGGCAAACTCTCCGGGGAGCACATAGCTTTGTTGCCTGTTGGGATCACTCACAACTTTGCCTTACCTGCCCAAATTCTAGCAGGTCTTGACCTGCTCCCCCAGGGAAGTGCACACACAGTTCTGGATGCAGGAGCCTTGGCTTTCTGGTTCTGTAAGTTCTTTGGGGGCATTAGTCCTGCCTCCCCAAGTAGACTGCCTGTGCTAGGACAATGCTCCACAACTTCACCCCCGCCCTGAGATCCAGGCTCCATAAATAGATATCCATCCATTCATCTGTCATCCATCCATCTATCCATCCATCAATGCATTCAGCGCAAGCAGTTCATACTTACTATGCACCAGCACAAGGTAGATCTGAGTCTATCCTGAACCCCAAAGAAATGATTTTTATTAATTCATAATGCCCAGCAAGTGTAGAACACTGGCAGTTTACAAAATGTCATTATAGCTCAGTGGATTCCTGAGTCAAAAACTAGCTGGTGGCGAGCTGAGACTGGAACCCAGATCTGTCTGACGGTTCATTGGCTCGCCTAGCATTGCAGCTCTTTGCCATGGGAAATAGTTATGATTTAGAAAGAGGGAAAACTTTCTACACCAGGAGCTCGCCTTTCCCTGCTCAGACCCTTTGGTACACACAGCTCCATCCCAGAAGATACCCTGTCCCTGTGGCAAGGGGATTCCAGGGGCCAGCAGGTCCCAGCTCTCCCGGAGGGCTCAGGTTGTTGGCAGGTCCTGTGAATTTGGAACAGTAGTACCACCCTGCTCTGACTGAGCTGACTGTGGCTGCGTCTTGCCTGGCACTGTCGGCCCTTGTGGATCCCTGAGCAGGGCCCCAGCTTCCTGGCTGGGCGAGTGGGGAAGTCCTTTCATGCCACCATGCCCAGGGAGTTTTTGCATCTTGGGGGTCTTGGGGCTGCAGCTGATCTCTGCAGGTGCCCGGTTCTGAGGGTCACCCTTGTACACTTTGCTTCCACTCCTCCCCACAAACAACCACATAACTCTGGGGCTGCTGGGTAGAAAGAGGACAGAGAAGTTCCAGATCACTTACAGCCGTGCTGGGCAGCGCTCGGCCTCCAGGGCAGGCAGGAGCTCTCTTGATCTGCGTTTCTCTCTTCGAGCAACGGTTTCAGCCAGGCCAGACCAAAACGACTTTGGGGAGGGACCACTTCCCTCTGATTTTCCTCCTGTCCCTCCTTGTGGAGCACAGACTTGGGAAAGTTGCAAAAGAGGCTGGGCTGGTGACCTCAGCTGTGTGGGTGGAGGGGGTGGGGTGGAGCGAGCATGTTGGGCTTGCGAGCTGCTGGGCTTTGGGGTCCCTTGGGAATTTAGTTTATAAGGGACTCTGAGCCCTGGGGATGCAGAATAGAAGGCTTGAGGGCCAGAGGGTCTGCAGGGTGACATGCCAGTGTGGGCTCCCTAAAGAGCCCCTGGCTGGTTTTAGGAACTCGTGCCTCTGCTGCTGAAAGCCACCCAGTAAGGGGGCCCTTTGGTTTGCTGAAGTTTTTCATACACTTCTGTGACAGATTTGGTTCTATCATCAGTCTGGTGAGAAAAGGGTCTGGTTGTATACCTTGTATCCACCGGGATACAACACGTGCACACGCACACACACACACACACACACACTTATACCCGTTCTACTATACGTAGCAACACACCCACATGTACAGCACACATACTTTGCACACATACATATACACCATACCTCCCAAACCTCACTACACACACACACACACACACGCACTCAACACACACCACATATCACATACCACGCACACGCCACACCACACCAGGCTTGTGAGACGTAAGACATGTTCTGACACCTCCTAGGGCATCTTAGGTGAGGCTGTATTTGGGCTTCTCTTTGAGCTGCCTAGAGCCATGCCTTGGGTAATAAGGGGAGATGAAAGGGGAAGGAGGTGAGTTTAGACATGGCTACATGAAGAGATCACCACATCTCAAGGGACCCCCTTTAGGTTTATAAGACACTCCATGCACCCTGTCCCCACAGTCCTCCTGACTGGGATTTCATCTCCTTGTCAGTCTGTTCTGTTTTTGATAATCCTCCCTGCACAACGGCATCTCGGCCCCTACTTTATTGCAGCTGTATGTCTAAGCTGCTCCTGCATTCCTCTGGGCAGAGTGAGTAGTTTTTTTTTTTTTTTGGTGGTGGTACTCAGGTCTGAACTCAGGGCTTCATGCTTGCTAGGCAGGCACTCTACCACTTGAGCCCCTCCACCAGCCCGAGTGAGTAGCCTTGAATCCCACACTCAGCCACCAGCAATGCCAGGAACTGGCTCTGTCAAGGGTTGTTGGTGGAACAAAAGTTGGTGCCTCTTTTCCTTGTATCAGCTGACAAACATGCCTGGAGGGAGGGCATAGTGACTTTCGTATTGGATGGAATATAGTGAAGTTGGAAGAAATGCTGGGGAATGTTTACCCAAAATGTTCTATTTTGATTGCTCAGGAAAGGGTGCGTGAAACCATCCTCAGGGCAAGACTGATTTACGATGGCTGATTTGTTCTTAAATCCTTATAATTTAGAAATTCCCCTTATATTCTACTTGTCTGAGACCAGGTTTTAAATAAACATGTGGAGGGGGGGAGAGGGAGGAAGAAGAGGGAGAGAGAGAGAGAAGAAGAGGAGAAGAGACTGGGAGATGGAGAGAGAGGGGGTAGAGAGAGAGAAGAGAAGAGAAGAGGGGAGGAGAGGAGAGGAGAGAGAGGGAGACAGAGAGAGAAAAGGGAGAAAAGGGAGAGACAGAGAGGGAGAGAGAGAGAGAGAGAGAGAGAGAGAGAGAGAGAGAGAGAGAAAGTCTGGTGTGGTGGCATATTAGAGATCTCTCAGAGAACATGTGGAAGTTGAGGGACCTGCCACCACTGAGGGTGCTTTCAGGTATGGGAAGTGAATGTTTTCTGTTGGTCTTTACAGTTCCTGAATAGGGGATGCAACTTGTTCCCTCAGGGGATGTTTGCAGAACTATCCCCAACACCTTTGGAAGTCAAGTCACCAGCCACCCACCTTCAGGCCCCAGTTCCCACTTCCTCCATCCACATGGATCAAAGTCAGAAACTTCCCTTCTCTTCCTCTGATGTGGGCAGCATGTGGCAGATGACACCAAGCCCCTCCCCAGCAGAGGAGGCCATGATGTCCCAGCCACTGAGTTCTCATCTCAAGCATTCATTCAATAATCTGAGTAGGTCAGACTCTTTCAGGATACAAAAATGGACACTGCATTTTAACAGAGCAAATAAGACATGCAAGGGCTGTGGGAGTTTAAAGGAGGAAGGGCCTCTGGTGGACAGGGTAAAAGGATTCCTGAGAGAAAGGTGTGCACCTGAGAAAACAGGGAGAGGGGGTTCAGTTTGGTTTGGGTGGCACTGATGTGCAAGGAGGAGGGGTCAAACTAAACCAAGGCCCTAGAGAGCTTTGGAGTCCTGTCCACTAGGATGCCATTTGGTGGGCAGAGAGCTCATAGAAAGTGGGAGCCAGGAAGGCTGGAATTAGAGCCAGGCTTCAGGGACATTAATCAAACAAGCACCCATGTGTGTCAAGATCAGAGCGACAGCTAGGATGTTCTTGAAATTGGTGAATTGAAAGGCCATGCCCAGAGGGCTGAGGACAGGAACCAGGTTGTAGAAGCAAGGTCTGTGACAGAGCCAGCAGAGCTGTTGTAGAGTCACCACCTTGTTTAGTCATTTAGCAGAGGTGATGGGATGGCTTACACATCACTTTTGTCCTCCAGGCCTCCTGGGACACGCAGCCCCAGGCTAGCACATTCAGAATAGCCCTTGGGCAGAGATGAGCCTGAAGAACAACTGATCCCATGAGGGGCAATTTGATTTAGAGGAAAAGTTGTAAGGCCCTTTGTCTTCATGAGATTTTCCCTGCTGAGTGGTGGGCTCCCTGATGACCACAAGCACTAAGGTAGTTAAATGTTCACACAAGTGTAGTGTGGCATTGAATCCTCACCATGACTCCAGAAGTACTTCCAGTATTCATGCCTATTCGACTGATGAGCAAACTGAGGTACAGAGATTCCCCAACTGGTGCTGGGAATCAAGTCCTGTCTGACTCCAGTGCTTGAATTAGCTGCCCTATGACACTTCTTTGCTAGCTTGTTTAGGACAGGCTGTTCTGCATCAACTCTGAGGGCAAAAAGAAAAAAAAAAGTTCTGTATATGTCTATATGTATAAAGACAAAAGGAAGAAATGAAACAAACAAGTATGTATGTGTGGTTGAGGTATACTCTGAACAAAATCCTCAGAGGGGAAGAGAAGCTCTCCCACCCAGGTGAGCTCACTGGCTCTTCCCAGAGGCCTGTGAGGTGAGCATCCCAGAGGCACTAACTCATCATCTCAGGTCACCCAAGTGATGAGGGTGGAGCTCAGGTGTGAATCCAGGTTAGCTACCTGACCTTCACCCTGGGGTGTGTTCCATGACCCCTCCTGCTTGAAAGTGACAGCCTGGGCCTGCTCTACTTACTGCCTAGCCTAAGACAAATACTTACTTATTGGATTGGATTAAGCCCCAAATGAAACTAATGAATATATTTACGAGAGTGTGGGATAAATAAATATCCACTGGGTAGATGTTAGAAGAACCAGCATCTGTACCTGAGGTTCTCCTCCTTTCCTTCTCCTGTCCCTCTTCCCTCTCCTCTCCTTCTTTTCTCTCCTTTCTCTCTCTCTTCTCTCCTTCATACTATGGAATGCTTTAATTTATAGCAAACATATGGGCATGGTTTAAAGAATCAACACTCCTTGGGATAATGGCTAGTGCCACATATGGGGCTGGAAGTGTAGAGGATGGGCTGGCCAGGTTTATGGGAACTAACTGGAAGGTCCTCACTGGCTAGAGATGGGGTGACCTGAACACTATAAGTAACCATGGTAAGTTGAAATACATCAAACATGTTAAAAATTCATAGGTGTCTGACAACTGGTGAATAAAGGGAAGAGGACCCCAGCTAAGCTAAATTCTTTCCTAGATGAGCTGGTGAGTGAATGGTTGATGAGGGATTATTTTTTATAGTATTCTAATTAACCAATCTAAAAAAAAATAATAGAATTGGAAAAATCCCTATCAGTAGTGTAGGTCTCAGCAATGATCATCAATGGTGCTGAAGGCATCTTCATGGTTGGTGAAGGCTGACAACTTGAAACCCACTCATCAGTTCTAGCACTACCAATGGAGAATCACCAGCACCATTGCCTCCTGATGGGATACAACTGAAGTTCCAGCACTATCTATGAAGGGTTTGCCCCAGCATCAGACCTCTTGACCTAACTATCACTTTATAGAAAGGTTGGGCACAGAGATTCAGGTCAAAAGACATCTCTGGATTCCCACCAGCCAAATTATGAATATGGTACATTTTTATAGAAAAAAAGAGACTTAAGAGGCATTTTAAATAAATGCAATTTGTAGATTTTGTATTGATTACTGATACAAACAAGCCAGTTGTAAAAAACAAGAAATTTGTAGGAGACATTTGAATTCTGAGTGCATATTTAAGTAGGTTAGAAATATTTATGGATAAAATGATATGGTGCTTGGAATCTGCTTCAAAATAATCCAGGTATGTGGAGCCAGAGCAAGAAATGGATGGCGTTGTAGACAAAGGGGGCTTGGCTACATGTGGATGGGTTGGTGAAGCTGGGTAGGGGTGCATAGGATTTATCATGCCACAACTTCTGTGTGTGTATGTTTGAAGAGTTCCATAACAAAAAGCCCACGAAAAGCATTGAAGAATATAGACAGCAGTGGCTCAAGTGGTTGAATGTCTGCCTAGCAAGTGTGAAGCTCTGACTTCAATTATTACCCCCCCCAATAAAAGAATATGGACAGAAGTTAATTTTTTCCATCGTGATGGTAGTAAAGGTGGTATGTATGTCTAAAGTGTTTGTGAGGCTCTGCATGTGTGTGTGTGTGTGTGTGTATGTGTGTGTGTATGTTTTCATGCTCCATGTGGTCCTAATTCAAGCTGCAACTCTGGAAACAACTGTGTTCTGTGATAACTTTTTGACAGGTGTAAAGAATGCCCCAATTTAATAGGTCCCAGGGGTGTTGGGTAGCCAGGCACAGACATAAACCCCTTCTTAGGGGACTGCTGGGGCCAGCCCCACTTGGTTATTGCCACGATCAAAGACTGCATAGAACTGTCGAATGAAGACATCCCCCAGGATCCAGAGGGGTCCGGATGGAGGCTGAATGTCAAGCCCTTGAAAGCCACTGCCACAGAACTGTGCTCCATCCACGACATCCTGGGGTCAAAAAGAAGTATGTCAATAACACACAGTGGAAGGAAGAAGTAGTGCTGCCTAGGGGCTGTCCTAGGTGATGGTGATGGCTAGCACTGAGTGGCCTTGAATGGCTTGGTGGGCTCCACCATTTTGGTTGGTAGGTTCTTCCCTTCCACTTTATACATCCCTATTTCACTTTACTCAATGAAGTGTTTGTTTGTTCAAGTTCATTCATCTGTGTTCTATAATTCAGAGAATTGTTCACCTGTTATACAGCTCCACCCTACCATCAGTTTGCAACTGGAAAAATAGAAACTCTACTGCATGTCTGGAAGAGCAAGGGTTTGGTGCTAGGACACCTCAATTTAAATTCTGTTTTCTTCAGAGCTCAACTTCATTTTTATAAGGGTGAGAAATTGCTCAATAAATGGCTAGTCACTATTTTCTTGTTGATGTTCTGGGAAGAATCATTTGAGTGAACAAGAAAAGTATGACCTCCCCCAGTTTGCTGGACTTTTTATTCAGCAAAGACTTGGGGTCTACCAGGCAGGTGTCATTTTTTCAACAGCCATTTGATATTTAAGGTTACTGATGAGGAGGTGGGAAAATTAGAGCCTTCATGAAAGGAGGGAGATTACAAATCCAAAGATGTTACAAATCTCTGCTAGACTGAGGTGGCGCTAATTGAAGTCTGTTGCTAGGAGAGGAACATGGCACCGTATTAGGTGTAAGGAAGGGTGTGGGCATGAGCAGGGACTCTCATAGGGTGAGGGTGGGAGAGTGTGAGATGCTGGGGGGTAATGAATGTCTTGCTGCTCCCGAGTGTGGTGTGTCCAGAGGCAGGTGCACAGTTCCTAGGCTGCAGGAATGTAGGGGATCACCTGTGCTTACTTGGGCTGACTGTTTCTAGTTGGTGGCTTAGGGAAGGAGTTAGTGGAGATCAAGACAAGGAGAGAAGGCAAAACCCTCTGCCTATCCCTTAGCATCTCTGTTCTGGCACAGTCTCCTGATGTCATGGTTGACTCTTAGGTAAACTGGTGTTAGAGTGTGTTGATTTGATCCCAAATCAATGACCTAATGATACATCTCAAACTCCTAGAAAAACAAGAACAAGCAAATCCCAAAACAAATAGAAGGAGAGAAATAATAAAAATAAGAGCTGAAATCAACGAAATAGAAACCAAAAAAACCATACAAAGAATTAATGAAACAAAAAGTTGGTTCTTTGAAAAAATAAACAAGATCGATAGATCCCTGGCAAACCTGACTAAAATGAGGAGAGAAAAAACCCAAATTAGTAGAATTAGGAATGCAAAAGGGGAGATAACAACAAACACCATGGAAGTCCAGGAAATCATCAGAGACTACTTTGAGAACCTATATTCAAATAAATTTGAAAATCTAAAAGAAATGGACAGATTTCTAGATACATATGATCATCCAAAACTGAACCAAGAGGAAATTAATCACCTGAATAGACCTATAACACAAAATGAAATTGAAGCAGCAATCAAGAGTCTCCCCAAAAAGAAAAGTCCAGGACCTGATGGATTCTCTGCTGAATTCTATCAGACCTTTAAAGAAGAACTGATACCAACCCTCCTTAAACTGTTCCACGAAATAGAAAGGGAAGGAAAACTGCCAAACACATTTTATGAAGCCAGTATTACACTTATCCCAAAACCAGGCAAAGACACCTCCAAAAAGGAGAACTATAGGCCAATCTCCTTAATGAACATTGATGCAAAAATCCTCAACAAAATAATGGCAAACCGAATTCAGCAACACATCAAAAAGATTATTCACCACGACCAAGTAGGCTTCATCCCAGGGATGCAGGGGTGGTTCAACATACGAAAATCAATAAACGTAATAAACCACATTAACAGAAGCAAAGACAAAAACCACTTGATCATCTCAATAGATGCAGAAAAAGCCTTTGATAAGATCCAACATCATTTCATGATAAAAGCTCTAAGAAAACTAGGAATAGAAGGAAAGTTCCTCAACATTATAAAAGCTATATATGACAAACCTACAGCCAGCATTATACTTAACGGAGAAAAATTAAAACCATTCCCTCTAAAATCAGGAACCAGACAAGGATGCCCACTATCTCCACTCCTATTCAACATAGTACTGGAATTCCTAGCCAGAGCAATTAGGCAAGAAGAAGGAATAAAAGGAATACAAATAGGTAAAGAAACTGTCAAAATATCCCTATTTGCAGACGACATGATCCTATACCTTAAAGACCCAAAAAACTCTACTCAGAAGCTTCTAGACATCATCAATAGCTATAGCAAGGTAGCAGGATATAAAATCAACATAGAAAAATCATTAGCATTTCTATACACTAACAATGAGCAAACTGAAAAGAATGTATGAAAACAATTCCATTTACAATAGCCTCAAAAAAATCAAATACCTAGGTGTAAACCTAACAAAAGATGTGAAAGACCTCTACAAGGAAAACTATACACTTCTGAAGAAAGAGATTGAGGAAGACTATAGAAAGTGGAGAGATCTCCCATGCTCATGGATTGGTAGAATCAACATAGTAAAAATGTCGATACTCCCAAAGTAATCTACATGTTTAATGCAATTCCCATCAAAATTCCAATGACATTCATTAAAGAGATTGAAAAATCTACTGTGAAATTTATATGGAAACACAAGAGGCCACGAATAGCCAAGGCAATACTCAGTCAAAAGAACAATGCAGGAGGTATCACAATACCTGACTTCAAACTATATTACAAAGCAATAACAATAAAAACAGCATGGTACTGGCACAAAAACAGACATGAAGACCAGTGGAACAGAATAGAGGATCCAGATATGAAGCCACACAACTATAAGCAACTTATCTTTGACAAAGGAGCTAAAAATATACGATGGAGAAATAGCAGCCTCTTCAACAAAAACTGCTGGGAAAACTGGTTAGCAGTCTGCAAAAAACTGAAACTAGATCCATGTATATCACCCTATACCAAGATTAACTCAAAATGGATCAAGGATCTTAATATCAGACCCCAAACTCTTAAGTTGATACAAGAAAGAGTAGGAAATACTCTGGAGTTAGTAGGTTTAGGTAAGAACTTTCTCAATGAAACCCCAGCAGCACAGCAACTAAGAGATAGCATAGCTAAATGGGACCTCATAAAACTAAAAAGCTTCTGTTCATCAAAAGAAATGGTCTCTAAACTGAAGAGAACACCCACAGAGTGGGAGAAAATATTTGCCAACTATACATCAGACAAAGGACTGATAACCAGAATATACAGGGAACTTAAAAAACTAAATTCTCCCAAAACTAATGAACCAATAAAGAAATGGGCAAGTGAACTAAACAGAACTTTCTCAAAAGAAGAAATTCAAATGGCCAGAAAACACATGAAAAAATGCTCACCATCTCTAGCAATAAAGGAAATGCAAATTAAAACCACACTAAGATTCCACCTCACCCCTGTTAGAATAGCCATCATCAGCAACACCACCAACAACAGGTGTTGGTGAGGATGCGGGGAAAAAGGAACCCTCTTACACTGTTGGTGGGAATGTAGACTAGTACAACCACTCTGGAAAAAAATTTGGAGGATACTTAAAAAGCTGGACATCGATCTACCGTTTGATCCAGCAATACCATTCTTGGGGATATACCCAAAAGACTGTTACTCCAGAGGCACCTGCACAGCCATGTTTATTGTGGCACTATTCACAATAGCCAAGTTATGGAAACAGCCAAGATGCCCCAGCACTGACGAATGGATTAAGAAAATGTGGTATCTATACACAATGGAATTTTATGCAGCCATGAAGAACAAAATGTTATCATTCGCTGGTAAATGGATGGAATTGGAGAACATCATTCTGAGTGAGGTTAGCCTGGCTCAAAAGACCAAACATCGTATGTTCTCCCTCATATGTGGACATTAGATCAAGGGCAAACACAACAAGGGGATTGGACTATGAGCACATGATAAAAGCGAGAGCACACAAGGGAGGGGTGAGGATAGGTAAGACACCTAAAAAACTAGCTAGCATTTGTTGCCCTTAACGCAGAGAAACTAAAGCAGATACCTTAAAGCAACTGAGGCCAATAGGAAAAGGGGAACAGGTACTAGAGAAAAGGTTAGATCAAAAAGAATTAACCTAGAAGGTAACACCCACGGACAGGAAATCAATGTGAGTCAATGCCCTGTATAGCTATCCTTATCTCAACCAGCAAAAACACTTGTTCCTTCCTATTATTGCTTATACTCTCTCTACAACAAAATTAGAAATAAGGGCAAAATAATTTCTGCTGGGTATTGAGTTGGGGGGAGAGGGAGGGGGCGGAGTGGGTGGTAAGGGAGGGGGTGGGGTCAAGGGGGAGAAATGAACCAAGCCTTGTATGCACATATGAATAATAAAAGAAAAATGAAAAAAAAAAAAATCCAGGCCAAGAAGGATATGAAGTGACTATAGGTTTCCAAAATTCCCAGAATGTCCCTTTCTGCCTTGCCATCCAAACTTGGGAATTTACCAAAAAAAAAAAAAAAACTTTTTTGCTTGAGGAGGGATGTTAATTTGAATGTTAGGAGAAGTATAACTTTATACTGTACCCCTCTTTAAGTAGCTTATATCTTGATCCATTTACCTAACTGTCAGATTCTCAATGTCCTCATCTGTAACATGGGACTATTACTCTAGTCACACTTGGTGGTTGCAGAGGTTACAACTTTCAGTTGGTAAGTCAGTTTCACATGGCGATATTAGAAAACCTCCTTAAACAGCTTACCCCAAATTCATTGCTTCTTCATGGCAGAAGTGGAAACTAGAACTTAGCCCTGTGGGGTTTCCACCATAGATACCTGTGTCCTTTTCAGAGGGAATGCCACATCAGGCTATCTCTCAGAGAAGTGGGAGGGGGCTTGGGGTAGACACAGACAAGTGTGGGCAGCTGTTTGAAAAAGGAAGTAGCAGGCAAGTGGGAGAAGGCCTTGTGACTTGAAGAATAAGGAAACATCTCTCACCGGCAGGATGTAGGCAGTTGGGCTGAGGGTGTAGGAGACCCCGTTGATGATGAAGGCGACATTGGGCATGACGTTGAGGTTGGCGCAATCCACAGCATACTAAAACAGAACACGTGGATCCACTCAAAGGCTGCCATCTCCTGGGAGAAGGCCTGGCCCTCCTGCTCCTATCCAATCCTCACCCCAGGCAGACACTCACTTCTCCATCCACCGGGGTGGCCCCAATGGCCTCTTGCAGCTGCTTGATTTTGTTAGAAGGGCCAGTGAGGAGAGAGGTCCCTGTGTCCACAATGGCCTGGCAGCCCTCGGAGCAGAACATAACATTGTTTCCCACCTGGATTCTGAAGGCAAAAGGATGGCTGTGAGCCCTGCCTGCTCTGGCTGCCCATTCCCTGTGGGTCCCCTAGCACTCAGAATGCATCAGTGCTGTTCTGTTACGTCTCTCATCAAAGGAGTGTTTTGGTTTGAGTAGCTGCGATCACAGGTGTGTACCACCTCACCCAGCTTGCTCTTACTTCTTGACCCAGGGCGTGTACACACTCTATTTTCTATTGTGCTCCATTTCATTACAAACAGTGCAGGTTGGAGCTGGGCGCTGGTACTCATGTCTGTAATCCTAGCTACTTGGGAGGCTGAGATTTGGAGGATCATGGTTTAAGTCCAGCCCAGGCAAATAATTCGTTCACAGAACCCCCATCTCCAAAATAACTAGAGAAAAATGGACTGGAGGTGTGGCTCAGTGGTAGAGTGCCTGCTTTGTAAGTGGGAAGCCCTGAGTTCAAATCCCAGTCCTACTAAGAAAAAAAAAATTAAGTTGGGAACCCTAAAATGATGTGATAACCCACAAGCAGGTAAATCCCTACAGTCTGAAAAGCCCTCAGGAGACAGTGAGCCCTGAGGATTTTTCGCTTTTTATCTCTGAAGTCTTAGAAACTGAAAGTATGAATTCCTCTTCTTTGAATTCCTGCATTGTGTCACTTGCATTAGGTACGAAAGAGACATGTGGTTCCCCTTCCCCGCTTCCTCTACACCCAGATACCGTGCATGTGTCAAATTGGTCAAGGCTCAATTTTAAAGCCATCATCTCTTTGAAACCCTTGAGGAGTCTTCAGATAGAGACTGATCACTGGGCCGCTTTGGTGGCTCCTCTCTTGAAGCATGACCACTTCCACTTTATGTGGTAGTAATCCGTGCACATGTCTCATCGGTGAGGGCCAAATCCCAGTCCAATCCACCCTTGTATTCCCATGTCACTCAGCCCTGGTCTATGGTCAATTAGCATCGACTGAACAAAGGGCAGTGGGCTGCCTGTCAGTATTTACTGTCTGCTGAATTAGAGAGGCACAGGGAAGGAAGCTGCACCTGCCGCCTGTCATTGGTGCCCTTCCTCACCTTTGCTTGGCATCTCCACACCTCCAACCCACACAGCGAGTGCCCAGCATCTGCCCTTAGTGACCATCACTGTCACTCAGTTAATCCAGTTTGAGTTTGTGCCTAGCCTGTTATGAATTCTTCTATCAAACTGCAGCCACTTGGAGGAGGAAACTCACCCATCCAACGCAATCTGCCAGTAACCTTGGTTGGTGACAGGGACCCAGTTCAGGCTCCCAGAGAAATGGGAGGGGTCATAGCCTCCGAAAGTCAGCTCACTGCCTGAGCCACCTTCTGGGTTGCTGTGGGGAGAGAAAGGCAAGTTGCAGAGGAAAGGCCACTGGGAATGCCTGAGGAGGACCACAGCTAGGACTGGGTGCTTGTACCAGGTCTGTAGATAGGCAGAAACATCACCTTGGCCCTGATCACCAGGACTGTGCCACTGCAAACTGATTAGTCTGGGCCTTTGGGACCCAAGGATCGAAACAGCTCTGCTCTACAATTTGTGAATGCCCCCTGCCTCTTGGATACAAAGGTTATGAAGTTGGAAAATGAAGACCACAGGTGTGGTCATGCTGAATTCATACAGAACAGAGGCTAGGACCATACTGGGTATCACACAGTGTGTGACTTAAAGCAAGCCCGAAAGATAGATTTTCCCAAAGAATCTTTCCCACTATGTTTGTGATGGTAGCGGGAGTTTCCAGATCATTCACTACTTTGTGTTAAGGCAAAGACGCTCATTTGAATGAGCCTCTGGTTCCTAGTTGTATTCTGGGGAAATAGGACATAAACCAGACTCACCGTTAGGAAAATCAGAAAAGCAAAGAACTCATGGGTTTTGCAAGGCAAGAGGATAATGGGGAGGGAACTGAAGGTCTGTAGGAATTTAGGGTTTCAGAGAGAGGGGGCTGGGGATAGAGCTCATGGGAGAGCACTTACCTGGCACACACAAGGTTCTGCTTATGCAGGAAGAGGAAGGAAGTAACATTAGCTGATGGCCTCTGTGCAAAGCACCATGCTAGGGCTTTAACCCACCTAGTCTTATTTGACTCTCACGTCAACCTAGTGTTCACTTGAGGAAACTGAGGCTCCGGTAGATGAATCAATGCAAGGGGTAGGGCTTTAAAATCCAGGCTAGTCTGACTGCAAAGCCTTTGCTATTTCCTATCTCAGCTCCCTCCTTCCCAGACTGTAGGAGAGCAGGAGGCCCTGCAGGGGAAAAAGAGTGTCTGGACAGCCTGTCTCTCTCAGTTCTGCCCAGGCCTGGTCCCAGCTGCCTCTGTGTGCTGGAGAAGAAGCCCGGCTTGAGAGAGGGAATTCAGGACTCTTCATGTGGAGGTAGAACAGGAGACTGGGCTTCTGTTAGAACAGGCAAACTCAGGCCAGCCCTCACTGGAAAGGAGACGGGACTTCCTGTGTAGAGAGGAAGATGAGGGGACCTCCAGGGACCCCAGGCAAGATTCCTAGAGGTAACGAGCATCACCATCTTTTCAACTATAAGGTATGATTTTTAAAAAATTGTGGTAATGTATACATAATGTAAAACTTACCATCTTCACCAGTTTTGAGTGTACAGCTCAGTGAGTGTTAAGTACATTTATATCATATAGACAACTCTAGAAGTTTTTCATTTTGCACAACTGACACTACATATTCATGAAACAAGAACTCCCCTTCTTTCTCGCTCAGCCTGTCAACTACCATTGCATGAATCTGACGACTCTAGATACCTTAGGTAAGCGGAACAGTATTTGTCTTTTTATGACTGGCTTATTTCACTTAGCATAATGTCCTTCAGTTTAATCCATGTTCTGGCATGTGTCAGAATGTTCTTTCCTTTTAAAGACTGAGTAATATTCCACTGTCCGGATATATCGCATTTTTAGCCATTCACAAGCATGAAATTATTTTATTATCAGTTCACTGTTTAGCATTTTTCTTGCCTCTCTCAACTCTGAGGAATGTCCTTGTTTCATTGTGCACCAGTGTCTAGCATCATACTTAGTAGATAATGACAGCTTGATATTTAGTGATTGAGTAAATTAATAGCCAATCCAGAGCTCCTTAAATCCAACCCATTGTGGTACAGTTTCAAAGTGCTTGTTGTAACTACTTTAGGAAGCAAACTCTGTTTATTTAAAATCTAGAAAGGTAAAATGTTGTGCCCAAGATCACACAGCTGGTCAGAGGCCAACCAGAAGATCCAGGCCAGGTCTTTTGATCACTGAGTCTAGTTGTCGCTGACCACCTTACCTGGTGGGTTTGGCGAGCCTTACCTGCTCATGTAGACAGCAAACATCGGCAGATCCACCAGGTTTTGGGCCATCATATTGTCAAACACTGGAGTCACCCCTCCAGCAGCCAGTGAGGGGTATCCAAGGCCCAGAATTCCATCAAACTCTGCGTTCACAAAGGTCTGGCCTGGCTCTTTGACACTTTCTCCAAACTGCTGGCCAGTCACAGTCAGCCCTTCCACCTGAGGAAGGAGAGTCCTTAGGAGAGTTGCACAGGGATAGCCGAGGGTCTTCAGCTCCCTGGGTCTACCCTCTGCCCCAAAGCCAATTCCTTCCTTCTCAACTTTCCTGGGTTAATGGGCACAAGGATTGTTGCCATATTCCCATCCATTTAATTTCTTTATTTAATTAAAAATATTGAAATATAATACAGAAATCCTAAGTGTCATGCTCAGTAACTTTTTACATACTCCCCACACCCAGCTAGCCAAACTCCCAAATCAAGAAACAGGACATTCTAATGCACCAGAAGCCCCTTTGCACACCCTGCCTGTCTATCCATTATTTCTCCCAACTCCACAGTAGATGGTCTCCTCACTTCTTTTTTTTTTTGTGGTACAGGAGTTTGAACCCAGGGCCTTGCACTTGCTAGGCAGGTGCTCTGTCACTTGAGCCATACCTTCAGCCCTTTTTGCCTTAGTTATTTTTCAGACAGTGTTTTGAGCTTTTTGCCAGGGGCTGGCCTCAACTGCAGTCCTCCTGCCTCTGCCTCCTGCATAGCTGAGATTGCAGGCATGAGTCCCTGTACCAGGATCAGTCTCCTGACTTTAATGCCATACATTGGTTTCATCTATTTTTTGATTTAATTAAAACGGAATCATCCGGTGTGATGTTGACACCTAGCTTCTGTCACTCAGCATCCTGCTTATTGCATCTGTTGTAATTTATTGATTCTTCTGAATGATTTACAGTAAGGTCAGATCAGCATAATTTATTCATCCTATCATTGATGGGTGTTTGAGTTGCTTCCTGTATTTGACTATTGCTAATGGTGCTGCTTGTATATTTCTTTTGGTGAACACATGTATGTATTTTTATTAGATAAATGCTTAGGGGTAAAACTGCTAGATCACAGGGTACACAAGTATTCTGCTTGAGTAAATATGCCAAAGAGTTTTCCAGAATGATGGTACCATTGGTGCTTCCACCTCCACTACTCTAAGAGTTCCGATTGCTCCATATTCTCAACATTGTCTTTCCCGTGTTAGCACTCTAGCACTGTGCAGAAGGTTAAATTGTCATTTTGATTTGTATTTCCCAATGACTAATGAAATTGGATATCTGGACATCCTCTTTTATGAAGTGAGTTGCCTGCATTGTTCTTCTTGAATATTCTGGAAACAAATACTTTGTTGGTAATTTACAAAAATCTTCTCCCAGACCGTGAATGATATTTTTACACTCTTAATAGTGTTTCTGATTAACAGAAGATAATTAATTTTAATGTAATCCAGTTTAGATTTTTTTTTCCCTTCATTAGTAGTTTTTGTAACTTGTTTCAGAAAAAAATTTCTACCCAAGGTAAGCAAGACAGTTTTCCATGTTTTCTTCTAAAAACGTTGTTTTACTTTTCACATTTAGAGCTATAATCTATCTAAAGTTTGATAACGTGAGGTAGGAATCAAGGTCCATTTTTTTCTGTATAGGTATCTAAATGACCACCATCATTTGATAAATAGCTTCATTTCCTCCACAACTTCAGTAACGTTTTCAATAGAAGCCAAGTGAGTGTGAGTGTGAGTAACTTCTCAATTTTGTATTACATTGCATCTATTTTTAAAAACTCTGTGCCAGTCTCACACTGTGTAAGTTATAATAGCTTTATAATAACTCAATATCTGGCAGTAGTTTTCATCGAGACATTACACCAATATACATGTTAGAATTAACTTACTAATCTCTAACAAAAATTACAACTAGCAAGCAATCTCAGTGCTACCAAAAAATTGCTATTGTTTTGATTGGGGTAACATTGAATCCACAGATCAACTTGGAAATTTTTGATTTCTTTATAAAAGAGAGTCAATGGTTTATCTTTCAGTTTATGTAGATCTTTTAATTTCATTCTACTCAGAGGTCTTGCACATTTTTTGTTAAATTGACTTTAAGCTAATTGGTATTTTGATAGTATTATGAATACCATTAAATATTAAAAATTGTAAAAAATATTAAAAAACCCCATTTTCACTCCTTTTTCCTACTACGAAGACATTCGAATGATTTTTGTATGTTGACCTCATCCACAGAAACTTTGCTAAATTCACTTATTGACCATAGTATTTTGTCCATAGGTATTTTAGGATTTTCTACATACAGAATCCTGCTCTATGTTCTAATGACTCTGTTATTTCTTGTGTTCCAATCTTAGACTGGTGAAGTGGCTCAATCAATAGAATGCCTGCCTAGCAAGTGTGAGGCCTTGAGTTCAAACCCCAGTACCATCAAAAAAAAAAAAGTTTTTCAATCTTACTATCTTTAATTTCTCTTTTCTTGTCTTATTGCATTGGCTAGGATTTGCAACATAATGTTGAAAAGAAATAGTAAGAATGGCCATTTTTGTCTTTTTTGTTGATCTTGGGGAGAAGTTGTTAACAATTCATCATTAAGTATAAAGGGCTTCTTTGTTAGCCTTTATTTATTTTTTTTCAGTACTGGGGTTTTATACGCAGGCCTTGTGCATGTTAGGTAAACGCTTTACCACTTGAGCCACACCTCTGATCTTTCTTACTTTTAGGTTATTTTTCAGGTAAGGTCTTGCTTTTGCCTGGGGCCAGCCTAAGACCTCGTCCTTATACTATGCCTCCTGTGTAGCTGGGATTACAGGTGTGAGTTACCATACTTGGCCAGTAGATATTTGTTAATAGATTAAGGAAGTTATTTTGTATTTCTAGTTTACTAAGTTTTCTTTAAGTAAACATAGATGTTGAATTTTTATCAATTGAGACAATCATATGACATCTCTTTTTTTATTCTCTTAGATGATACATTCTTAGAAAGAAATGATTCTTGGTTGGGATGTATTATCCTTTTGTATATTGAAAGATTGCTAGTACTTTGTTTAGAACTTGGACATCTACATTCATGAGAGATTGTTTTATAATTCTCATTCTTATAATATCCTTTTCAAGTTTTGTTATCAAGACTGTTCTGGTTTCAAAAAATGAGTTATGAAGTGCTCTTTCTTTATCACTTCTCTGGAAGAGTCTGCATAAGACTGGTTATTTCTTTTTTAACTGCTTAGAAGAATTTTCTAGTGAGGCTACATAGCTCTGGAGTTTTCCTTGGTCCTTGGTTTGAACTTCTTTCTCTTTCAAGATGTATGCTCAGTGCTCCTGGGGACTGGTAATTGAGTTTTGCCACCAGGCTTTGTGCACTGGGGGTTGTTTCCTGAGGCGATCTCTCAGCCCTTCTCAGGCCTAGCAGGCTGAGCAGACTGACCCACTGCCACCAACTCAGGTGGGGAGACTGCTCCCTTTTCCCTAGAGGCTAGTCTCATTCCCCCCTCCCACCTCTTCCTGAGGCGGATCTGAACCTGTACCCTTTGACCTCTGAATAACTTTCTGCATCTCATGTTTCTGGCCAAGAGAGAATAGATGAAGGAATTGCACTCACAGAGACCTGGTCGGCTCCAATGATCCCAGTCAGGCTCCCAGTCCCATACTGAATGGAGAAGGAGGTCCCCACCTCGCTGTATGTGCTGGACTGGGAAGGGTGGAACACGGAGTGTGTCTCTGAAAAGCAAGGATGCATCTCATTGCCTTCATCTCTGTCCAAAATGCAGGGTCTCATCCCTCAGCTCCTGGCATTGAGTGGGTGGCCCTAGAAAGACCCACCACAGCCCTCCCTAGTATGCTACTGCACTCACCTCTAGCCACAGGTGTGGCCTAACTGGGGATCAAATAGTTGCCTCTGGGCAAACCTGATTGTCCGCAATGACCTCATGAGGCACACCAAGATAAGTGCCATTTATCAGGTGCCAGGAGCAGTCTCAACCCTCAGTGTGGGTCAGATTCTGGCCTTCAGAGAAACTTAGGGGCAAACAATTGCCACTCCAGGAAATGATTCCAACTCTCTGTTCAACCTTGGGGACTCCTCGCTCAGGGCTTCAGAGAACTTCTGTCTCTGAGTCTTGTCCTGCATGGACTGAGACATCTTTGTTCAGCTTTTCTTTTTCCAATCTTCACTGAGCCCCCCAAGTTACCACTGGGCAAAAGGATGCACCCAGGCCACTGTGCTCCACAGTCACTTTTCTGTGGAAACTGGGCCATCAAGCTTCCTTGAAGCAGGTGCACAGTTCATCTACCTTCCCACCTGGAACTCAGTCCACCTCCACCTACCTCCCCAGAAACGGTCACTTGAATGGAACCTTCCCCCATGTTTCTTTGGGTGTTCCAAAGGAAATGAGTCACCAAGTTAAGATTTTCTTTTCAATGGCTAAGTTTCTGTCTATTAAATCTAACCATTGTGAAAGCTGTTATCTTGGTTGGCTATATTTAGCGTTCTTCCTGGTCCCACCCTGTTTCTATCAACAGTTCCAGGCAGACCCAGAGATAGAGGGGAAGCTAGGGTGGCAGCGAAGGTCAGTTTGGGAAACCCAAGCCCTTCACCCCAGAGTATTAGGACCTGGCCACCCAGGACTGGCCCCCAGCCATTTCCTGTTGGGGCTTCTGGTCTTGCTTACGGCAGGCTTGGCTGGTGCAGTACACAGAGGGGACCCAGAGATTGGAGGAGCCGGTGTCAAAGATGACGGTGAAGTTCTGCGGTGGGGATCCAATGGAGATAGTGCCGAAGTACTCCATCTGCAAGGAAGAGAGCAGCGAGGAAGGGGAGCGTGGGTGGGGTGGGAGGGACAGGAGTGTTCCCCAGGGGTCCAGGGCAGAGTGGCTGGGACCAGAGCTTAGAAGTACTGTAGTCTAGAACACAGAGCCTGGAAGTGGAGAGGCTGGAAAATAAAAGAGCAGAAGGGCCACAAGGGAGGAAAAAGCCTTTTTCCCACAAGAGCGCTGAAAGCAAGGCAGGGCGGCAGGGACACCTCCATTTTACCAATCAGGGAACTGGGGCTGGGAGAATCAAGTACTTTGCGCAAGGATGTAACTAGCAAGCTGCCCAGTTGAGACAGAAGAAGGGTCCTTCTCTTTGGATGCTAGCCATCCTCATCCCTTTCCTCCCACAGAGCACTGCGTGTTGGGCACACGGGGGCCTGCTTACAAAGTCCACAGGGACCTGGGGACTCATTTATGAGTATCCAAGGAAAGAAACCCAAACAAGGGCCCCCAACCTGGCTGATACAGCACTGGCTGCTGGAGGCGGAGCCTTCCTCCCAACTCCCAGCTCTCCCCAGCCCCATCCCAGGAGGCCTCACATCCAGGTAGTTGAGGAGGGGCTCATTGGCACTCTGGTCTGCTGTGCAGGACTCAGTGAACTGAATCATGTCCAAGTTCTGGGACTTCCAGAACTCTGAGAGCTGGCCCTTGGCCCGCAGCTTCTTCCGGAGGGACTCCCGCCTACTGAGAGGCACCCTGAGGACAAAACCTCATGTGAGGACTGGGGTGCAGCTCTGCCTTCCTCTCCTCCCCTCCCCTCTTCCCACCGCATTTGCTCATGGTGGAGGGTGGGAGTGGGGGAATCTGCAAGGCCAGGATTTGCCCAGGAGCAGCACTCCTTTCCCTTCGCTAGCCGGCCTCACCTCTGCCTCTCACAGTCTCAGAGTGGAAATGGCTCCCCCATTCCTGGATTCAGGACAGTCTGCAGTTTTACCTGAACCCCCAAGAAGGGCTGATAAAAGGGACAGAAAAACTCCTGAGGCAGTGAGGGTCGGCCCTGCAAACCACAACTGCAGGTTCCTGCTCTTCACTTTTCTTTTTTCTTTTTTTTTTTTTTTGGTGGGACTGGGGTTTGGGGCTTTGCACTTGCAGACAGGCGCTCTGTAGCTTGAGCCACACCTCCAGTCCATTTTGCTCTGGTAATTTTGGAGATGGGATCTCATGAACTATTTGCTAGGGCTGGCCTCAAACTGTGATCCTTCTGATCTCAGCCTCCCAACTAGCTAGGATTATAGGTGTGAGCCCCTGGTGTCTAGCAAGGTTCTTGCTCTTTAGTGATATGAGGATATGAACTGCTCCCCAGGCTTGGGTAGGCCCTTCCATTGGAGGTAGAGGCAGGTGGTTGACTGGCTGTAGATAGGAGGTTGAGGCCATACACAAGGTGGACAATTGGGAAACTTCTCGTGGATTCCCACAGACCTCCAATTTCTTCTCTTCGTTACCTCATCAGCTTTCCTCTCCCAGGGCAGCCTTGAGACCAGGGTGCAGGGGGTGTCCCAGTTGCACTCAATGCGGGGGGATACGGTCTCACCTGTGAAGGCCTCCTTGGGCCTGTCCCAGGTCCAGGAGCACCACAAGCAATAGGAGGAGTGTCTTCATCGTGGCTTGACCAGCAGCTTCTCTCTTGTTCTGCTGCAGCCTGTCTGGCTTTCTCCTTTCTCCTTTCTCACAGGGCAGGGGAGCCAACTCTCTCCAACACTCAGACCTGCCCTGCCCTGCCCAGTCTGAGGACCCAATGATAAGACCTCAAGTCAATAGCCATGCCCAGAGCAAACAGCATGTGTAACAGGGCGTTCCTTCTCCACCCCTCTCTTAGAGGGTCTGAGCACCCTCTAAGAGTAAGAAAGTTTTATCCTAATCTCAGCTTCCCCCAGGGTTTTTGACACCCTCTACTAACTCACTTAAGAAACCCCATGTTAATTGGTTAAGAGGACAATGGGTCCTGGACCCAGGGAACCACCTTATTGACCTGTTAGCATAAGTGGTCCAGCTGAAGACCTGAAATGACATATATATGGCCAGATTGTAACTCAAAATATAAATTGGCCTTTTGCCTTTGTATTTCTTCAGTCCTCATTCCCTCAGATGCCCCAAGGCAGACCACGCCCTCCCCATCCACTTCAGAGCTCCCCCAGAGGCTTGGCAATGTGAAGATTTGGCTATGGATTTGTGGGGCTGGCTTTCCAGATCCCAAGGATTCAGTGGTTCTGGGGCTGGAGTTGTGTGTGGAGGGGACACAGGGGCATCCCTGGAGGGCAGTTGGACACAGGTTCTTGAGCAGGTGCCTGTATTGGTGTGTGAGGCCTATCACAGTGAGGTACCGTGGACTGGATGGCTTAAACAACAAAATTCGTTTTCTTGTGATTGTAGGGGCTGGAAGTCCAGGATCAAGGTGTCAGGAGGTTGTGTCTGAGGTCCCTCTCCTTGCTGTGTAGATGGACACCATTGCTGTGCATCTTCACACCATCTTTCCTCTGTCTGTGTCTTAATTTCTTCTAAGGACACTGATCATATTGGATTAGGGCCCATCCTAAAGTCCTTATTTAACTTTAATTCTTTTTTAATGACCCTATCTCTAGCCAGTTATGGTGGTACACACCTGTAATCTTAGCTACTTGGGAGATGGAGATTAGGAGGATGAGGTTTTGAGGCCCCATCAGGACAAAAAGTTAGTGAGACCGCATCTCAATCAACATACCTGTGATACCAGCTATGTGGAATGCATAGGTAGGAGAATCAAGGTTTGTGGCCAGCCCGGGCAAAAAAAAAAAAAAAATAGAGCCTATTTGAAAAAGTAATTAAAGCCAAAAGTGTTGGGGGGTGCGGGTCAAGTGGTAGAGCACCTGCTCAGCAAGTGCACGGCCCTGAGATCAAACCTCAGTACCATAAAACAAAAAGAACAACCCCCCCAAAAAAAAAAACCTCTGAAGACAGTCACATTCTGAGGTACTGGGGTTAGGGCTTCAACATATGAATTATGGGGGTGCAGCTCAGGCCAGGGCAGTGCCCAGGAACAAGATCCATAATCTGTAAGTGGGACAAAGGACAGTGATGTGGAGTAGGCAGAGCTCAGGACTGAGTGACCTCAGCATCAGTCCATCCTGTCGGTGTACCCCCTCCTACAGGAAGGGGGACTTTACTGCTTGGGGGAGAGGAAGGTTGATGGAGGAATGACGGGAAGGAAAACCCTTCCTAACCCAGACTCACCTTGATCAGATGCTCTGAGAAGGGCAGTGGAGGCCACCACCACCATCACATATTCCAATGCTTCCAGAGGGCACAAGCTCTGAAGTAGGAATTTGGGCCCAGGTTAGGTTTCTCTAGTATTCTAGAAAACTCTTAATTGCTCTGGGCTCTGCCTTCCATCTCTGAAGCCCAAGAAGTAGGCAAACTTGGAATCCAAAGCTAACCAAAAACCAACTCATCCTTGTGTCCAAATGAGCATACCTGCAGTCCGACCCTTGTCCTGATCTTCTAGGCCTCCCCTCTCCCCTCTCCCTTCTCCCAAACCAAGAGAAGAGGGTTTGGCTGTCCCTGGCTTGGAAGAGGCTGATTGGTATGTGCAGCTTTGGGTTGTTTGGCCTGTCTGCCAGGAGCCCCAGGCCGGCTGGATTTTGGAAAGTCTGACAAGGGTTAGGAATGGGCATGTGGGGACATTTGTGGGGGCAGTGTCAATGGGTTCTGTCCTCTCTGGGAACACCAGGAACTGCACCTGCCCTGGCTTTACATTGCTGTCCCCTCCCAGGCTAGAATCAAAAATTGTTGTGGACAGTGTGGATGTTCTCTATGGAACAAAAGCATACGTGTGATGGTGTGAAAAGAAAGAGAGAAGAACATTTGGAGTGAAATAGTGCCACAGGCAAAAGTGGGGTACGGTGTAGGCAATGATCCAGTCTCTCAGCGTTCAGACAGGGGCTTTGGGGAGAGAGAGCCTCAGGAATGGGCACACGGGCTGGCTGGACACAGAGACTTTGATGGTTTCCAGAGCATTTGAAAGCTGTTGACACTGTCTAATCAATGTTTCCTTTCTGGAGCTTTGGCTTCCAGAAGGTTCATTAATGCTAAGAGACAGTTGCTCAGTGCTCTGTGGCAGTCAGTGTTATCAGGGCTCCATAGCTCTAAGGGCACAGTGCATCTCCGTGGGGCATGAGCTGGCTCCTTATGGCAGGGGAGCCCCACTCCAGGACACCTGGCTCTGGAAATGCATCAGCTCAGCGTGAAGCTGACCAAGTGGCAGCGTGATGCTGTCTCAACCTCTTTCTTTGTGGAGCTGAGGAATGAAGGCAAGTCCACTGCGCTGTATGTGGTACAGTGGAAAGAGGGCTGGGGTGGGATGCCTAGATCTAGTCTTGGCTTTGCCAGACACTGGCCATTTGCCCATAGATAAATCACTTTTCTTGGAATCTAGTTTCCTTGTCTATAAAAATGAAGAGGTTGGGTTGGGTGATAATAAGTTATTACATAAGTTATGTGCCAGGCTGAGTTAAGGAATTGATAAGCGTTAGCGTCTCCTAGCAGGTAGCTATTTTAAGTCCATTTTACAGATGAGGTAACTGGGACACAGAGCAACTTGCATGAGGTGCTGTTATCAGGATTCAAAACCAGGTTAGCCTGCCATTAAAGCAGATGTTCTTTTTCTTTAAACTGGGGATTGAACTCAGAGCCTATACCTTAAGCCACTCCACCAGCCTTTTTTTTTGAGATAGGGTCTTGTGAACTATTTGCCCAGGCTGGCTTTGAAACTTGATCCTCCTGATTTCTGCCTCTGAAATAGCGAGGGTTACAGGCATGAACCACTGGCGCCTGGCTAAAGCTGATGTTCTTAACCATGGATGATCTCTAGGGTCTTACATTCTAGGTGAGGGGGAGGAGAGAAAGCCGGGGGAGAGGGAGAGAGTTGAGGCATTTTATTGTAAGAAGAGAGGTGTGTGCAGGGTGGGTGTGGAGGTAAATCATTGTTACAGGATGAGAAATTTTCTCATTGCATTTTTGTTGTTGTTTTGAGACACTGTCTTGCTATGTAGTCCAGGCTGGCCTCAAGCCCTTAATCCTTTTGTCTCTACCTCCTGAATGCTGGGATTATAGAAGGGTCATCTTGCACATTTTCATTGCATATTTTTATTTATTTATTGTTATTATTATTATTACTTGGTGGTATTGGGGTTTGAACTTAGGTCCTTGCGCTCTGCTGGTTGAGCCATGCCTCCAGCCCTCCTTGCATATTTTGCCTTCCAGGAGCCTTCCTGGAAGGATGACTATTGCATTGCTGATAGATGCAAAAAATCCCTATGCATCTCTCTCCTAGGCCCTCCCTCCTGAATTATGAAGACACAATGAATAGTTGTTTTGTGATCTAATCATTTGTTATTGCAAAGAGATCACAGCTGGCACCTGAGCTGATTTTTTTCCCATGCAGCTTGGCCTGCCTTGCTTTGTCAAAGCCTCTTGTCTTCATGCAGCCGTAAGTAAGAAGGACCTGACGTCTTCAGTGTCTCACCCTGGCAAGAACTCAGAGTGTGAGTCATTTCCACTGCCAGTTCTGTTCTGGGAGAGGCTTTCAGACAGAAATTTCTGCAGCACCGTCAGCAGAGGGCTCTAGCACTGCAGAATTTTCCCACCTGAATAGCCTCCCTGTGGTGTGTGTGTGTGTGCATGTCTGTGTGTGTGTGCGTGTGTGTGTGCATGTGTGTGTGCAGTGCATGTGTGTGCGTGCACGTGTGTGTGAGTGTGTGCATGTCTATGTGCGTGTGCGCACGTGCATGTGTGTGTGCGTGTGCATCTCTGTGCCTGCAAGTAAGAGCAGCAGCTCAGCCTCCAGCCTACAGGACAGCAGGACTGTACACTGACCACGCCAACTTTTGTGCTGGTTACTGAGTTACGACTTTGAAAGCACACAAAGCAGGGTTTCATGCCACTTAACTTGTGCCTTGGGGATGTTTTGGAGCCTGTGATTGCTCCACTGCAAAAGAGGACAGATGAGTCGCCTGCAGAGTAATGGGGAGCCCGGAGACCTTCCTTAGGACGAGTGCTTTCTATGCATCACAAGGCCAGTGCTTGACACTCAGCAAGCCCTCAATATGGGTACCTGGCTAAACCACAGGTACCGGACAATGAGCACCCATGTGATGCAATGCACTGCTCTAAGTGTTTTAAATATAGTAGGCCCAGAGAGGTAAAGGGATTTGTGCAAGGCCACACAGCTGGTAATGATGGAACCAGGCTCAAGCTCAGGAAATCTTCTATAGAGTTTGTGATCTTAAACACAACTTTCAGTTGCTATCTATGGCACATATATACGTTACTGTACGTAGTTGCAATCTGAAATACTTCCTGAAGGTCATTGTTCTTTGTATTTTTTTTTTTTTTTTTTGGAGACAGGATCTCACTAGCTAGCCCAGATTGGTCTTGAACTTGTGATTCTCCTGACTTGATCTCCTGAATGCTAGGATTACAGGTGTGTCCCACCATGGCTGGCTTGTGTATTTTAATTGTTCAGGAAAATTACTAAGGAGTTCTTATACTTGGATCAGGGGCTCAACCATTGAAAGGCTAGAAAATAAAAATTACCCTTCGTTCCTTGTGTGTAAAATAAGTCTGTTAGGAAAAAAATAACTAGAAGCATATAAGGGAGTGTGGCTCAAGTGATAGAGGAAGAC